TGATTCCAATTGTTATGGCGAAAATGCAAATAACAACGCTCTTCGAGGAATAATCACAAACAATCACAAAGAAAAATCACACACAAGATATACACGGTTCACCCAAATCTTAGGGCTACGTCCATGGAACACACTGAACAAATTCACAATGAAGAAGATGAATTACAATGGATACGTTCTTTCTTCTGTTAACACAAATTAATCATACAACACGTATGATTTCTCTCTAGTTCTCACACACCCTAAAAAATAATTAGGGTTGATATATATAGCCCCAATACAATGAAACCCAACTTGTCCCACAAAAATTGCCTTTTGTAGAGTTCAATTCCAACAAGGAAAGTAAATCACGTAGCTTCCCAAAAGTGTTGAACCAGTTCAGCCTTTCTGGAAAGGGTTCAACTTAACAGCCCAAAAACTTCTACAACGTTCTGCCACTCTTGAACTGGTACAAGGAATTGGCTACCGATTCCCACTTGGACAGTGGCTGATCTCAAAGTTTCCTTGATTTGGCTATCACTCAGTGGAACTGGTTCCAAAACTCTTGAATCGGTTCAAAAATTCTAGTAGCCAAAATATTAAAATCATTAGTTTCTCAAAAAACTTCACATTATCAACACGCGATCGGACTCCACATAAACACAACAGTCTAGGCTTTAAAAATGTTGAAGCTTTTAATCTGGCCCTCCTTGCAAAGATGGCTTGGTGAATGGAAACTGGGGATGATTCTCTGCTTTTCAGATCTTTCAAAAAGAAATATTTTAAAAATTGTAGCTTTGTGGAAACTTCTCCAAAGTCTAGCACTTTTTGGGTCTGGAAGAGTATTTTTTTGGCTTGTGAGGTTATCAAAAATGGTATGAAATGGCGTATTGGTAATGGATTGAAGGTTGATTGTTGCGGATACCTCTAATTTTGCTACTACATTGTCAACTTCTGGGATCAACCTCTCGTTGGTTTTGGATCTTATTAACCACTCTACCCATAAATGGAAGTTTGATTTGGTGCATCGTATTTTTAACACGAGAGATCGAGAGCTCATTTTCCAGATTCCTTTAAGCTCAGTTGGTAGATATGATTGTAAAGTTTGGGGTGCATCGAGAGACGGTCGCTTTACTGTTAAAAGTGCCTACTGTGCTGCTCTTTCAGTTCTTAACATTCAATTAGAATTTTATTCAGAGGAGGGTTGTTGCTTTAATGCTCTTAGAGAATCTATATGGAAGTAGGTTTGGTCTATTCAAGTTCCCTAAAAAATTCAATTATTCCTATAGCAGTGCCTTTATGAGCGAATCCCCGTGAATTCTATGTGGAGCTTGTGAATTTTCATCCTGCCTTTTTTGTGAGAATTTTGCTGAAACAGTATATCACCTCCTTTGCACATGCCCATTTGCCAGACTGGTGTGGAAACTGTGTCCTCTTCGGATTGATTTTGGTGGTTTTTCTCCCACCTTTTGGCAAAAGCGCTGGGTGGACCTTTTGGCTTCAGATGATAATTCCAGTTTGGATGCTTTTGTTTGTTGGACAATTTAAAAAAGCTGCAACGATTTGGAGTTCCAGCAAAAAAGATGGGATCCATTTAAGGCTGCTCAAAAAGCCTTCACTGATTTTCAGGAATTCAAGGAAATCTCTAAGCAAGATTCGATGCTCTCCCTTCCCCCTACTTCTTTTCCTCCTGTGGTTCCTTGCAAGTAGTGGTCTGCTCCGGTTCCAGGTTTCCTCAAACTTAATTTTGATGCGGTGTTTAATTCTTCTTTGCGGACCTGTGGAGGAGGTATGATCCTTCGTAATCATTTAGGCCATCCCATTAAAGTCGCATCGGTTTTTCTTGATCATGTGTCTAGCCCTCAGCTAGCCGAAGGCCTTGTTCTTCTTGAATCGCTCATTCTTCTAAAACATTGGGGCTATCACAATGTGGTTGTGGAAGGAGATTGTATGCCTGTGATGAAATTGCAAGCTTCGGTTGATGGTTTGATGGTGATTTTCAATGACATCCTTTCAATCCTTAAGGATTGTGTGGGTTCTTCCCTTGCTTGGGTTTCCCGTCGAGGAAATGTTGTCGCTCATGTGTTGAGTAAAAAGACTCTTGCAGCTAAATGTGGTGATGTTGAGTGGAGTATATGGCCCTCATGGTTGTTAAATGCTCTTCTTCCAGATTGTTCTTGTCCTTTTCGCAGTTGAATAGATTGTTGTTGTTAAAAAATAAAAAAAAAAACTAGTTTCAATGTCTAATTTACAACATTAGATGAAATCTTGAGATTTTATAAAGATGAATAAAACTTAAGAGAATAGTTAAAAAATAAAAAAATAATTACAAACATTTATCATCAGGTGCAAAGTTGATTCTACTGGTATATATGTGTCTGTGATGAATGAGTTTGTTATTAAAAAAAATATATATATATATTAATCAGAAGCAGAAACAATATAACCTATAACTGTGTCATCAACACACTTATGCCAATTTATGCTAATGACAAATTAATACAGCAAATACATATCGTTTTATTAGAAGTTTGATAAATGAGTTTTTAATATATGAGCAACGATAAATTATGATCTTTTAGCTTCCTTCTGCCATTCAAACAGCATAAATGTTTAAATCATATCAAGTAACACATGATCAAATCAATCCATTCACAAGCTGAGACACCCTAATTTTTAAAGCCAATTTGACTTTCCGCAACTTGAAAATAAAACTTTGTAGTTCGGAATCTCGGGTTTGTTTGGTTGTGCTTTCTATAGTTTTAAGACGACTTCTAAGTCCAAAAAGTCCTTCGCCAATAATAAAAAGAGTTTGATAAAATTTATAAAAATAGACTTTTAAAAAGTGTAAACGGTTTAGAAGTCTAATTAACCAAAGTCAATAAAATCAATTTCCCGAGCAGCACACTTTTTTAAGTAATAAATATAAAATTCTTATATTGTCCATTATTTAGCCTATTTATATTTCTGAATTTCGATCATTCTCTACCAAAAATAAAAATATATATTAAAAAAATATGTTGAGCATAAATTCACGAATCTTTATTGAAAAAAATATTCGTTCCTTCTCTACCAAAAATAAAAATATATATTAAAAAAATATGTTGAGCAAAAATTCACAAATCTTTATTGAAAAAAATATTGTTGAAAAATGATTCAACAAAAGAAAACAAAGATATTGAGGAGTTGGGGGAAAAATTATGACTCACTCCCATTTGACTTCAAAGACTAAGGAGCAGAAGAGTTACAAGATTTATGAACTCTTATCCAAAATTCAACTCTATATAAAATTCTAAACAACTTTTTTTTCTCTTAATATATATATATATATATATATATATAATATTTTTTTTAAAGGCTACCCGTTTCATTTAGGGTATCAGTAAGGACGAATCCATGTCAATGTGGAGGTGGGGGGCTAATGAAGAATGGGGATCGAAAGATGAAAGAGTTGAAAAATTTTAGAGGAAATAGTGAAATAGGGTTAGAGGGAGGGAGTCTAAGTCACATAGAAGACTAGAAAATTAGATATATTGGAGGGAGCTCTCTGACTTGTGCTCTGGCTTCGGGCTTTAGGGCTTGTTCAGCTTGGGTATATTTGGTTGGGCTTTTATTTTTAAAATTGTGGCTTAAATCTTGGGCTTATTTAGATGGGCAAATATTTGGAGGGCTAGTACTACTACTAATTTGTTTTGTTTTAGGATTGGGTTAAATTTTCCTATACTAAATTTTTTTTTTTTTTTTTAGGGGACCGTAGCCCCCATTTAATATTTTTGCAGCATCTCAATCTTTCATTTTATTTTTCTTTCCTTTTCTTTTTCCATCTCTTTCAACTTCTAGTCAAAAAAAAAAAAAAAAAAAAATACTTTATATCCTGATTTTCACTATGCCAATTAATTGTTGCTGCATTTTTTGCGACTTCGCTCTATCACCTTTTTTTTTTCTTCGCCTTTGTACATCCCAATTCAACTCTCTACTATTATTCATTATTAAGGATATAATTGTAAAATTAAATTATCTTAATAGTTAAAAAAACTTTTAAAAATTCACCCACCAAACAACATTTTTGTTTTAAATTTCTTTCGGCAGAATGCATTCTCCAAAGCGATTCATTGAAAGGAATTTTAAAAACAAAAAACTCCCCCAAACAGGCCCTCATGTTTTAGTATAAAAAATGACTTTTATTTATAAGATGAGATTTTTCACCGTTTGAATTTAGAAAAGTGAGCCACAGGCCTTACTGTTTGGACGTATAATGCTAAAGGACACATCATTCAACTAGTTTTCAAAGTGCTGTGCTATTCTAATGTTGTTTAGGAGCCTGTGTTCGAGCCTTACATCATTTCCTTTTTTTTTAACTACTAATCCTTAATATTCTTGTCATGAAACAAAAAAAAAAAAAAAAACTAGTTTCCAATAAATCCTTTCATTTTATTATTATTATAAGCTTCATTGTCAAAATAAAACTCAACCCGTTGTGATTTTGAACTAAAATTTTTAAACTGACATTAAAATTTATAGTCTAGAGAAATTTTTAAATGGCCCGAAACTACCATAAATCAATCCTCTCCATGCTTTTTTTTCAGAGAGAAAATGCCTTGCGCCCAAAGAGAGGAGGTCTCGGCCAATTTCACAAACAAATGTGTTTATTTTATTCATATTTTTGCTTCCGTGTTAGTTGCGAGTGATGGTAGTCCCGGCCATATAAATAATTTATCGTGTGATTTGCAGTGAATGCACATCGTTACCAAAAACAGTCCCTGCTTAATAGTAGGGCACACTCAGAATTCACCAACAAACATATTCCAATACCATCGAAAAATATTTAAATTGGGTCTCACTATGTTTTTTTAGATTAAAATAACACAAGCTATTTGCAAATATTTGCCTTTTATTTATCAAAATAAAAATGTATGTCATTTCGTACCTTAAGCAACCTAAAAAAAATAAAAGGAAACTAGGTAGTAGAAAACATGGCATCAAACCAGCATCTACAATCACCCAAAAAAAAAAAAAAAAAAAAAAAAAAAGAATAAAATGTATTATGATGATTTATGGTAAATAATTTAATAGCATATGTACAAGGCACTCAAATCTGGTAATCTCTCCCGTACAATGGCACCCAAATCTTTTGACCTTCCCTTCTTGTTTGCGAGAGAAGTAGATAGATATATAAATAGATTTATGATGATATAGAGAGAGAGATCCAAACGGATATCCTATATCGAGTTCACAGCTCTATATAACAATTTGAACTTGTTCATATTCAAAAATGAGAATTGAATATGGCTCAGGTCCAGACTGAAAATTTTTTTCCTTCCCGAACTGACAATATAGTCGTATCGAACAGAATGCTAGCACTAATAAAAATTTACTGTCCCTGGTTCCCCAAAAGCCGCTCCACCGCTGTGTGAACATTCCCTGCAGCAGCAGTCAGTGCCCGTATATTCTCTTGAGTGTCAAAGAAACCCATTTCTTGTAGCTGCAAAAGCTGAGTGGCATACAATTCCTCTGGTGGTACTAAAACAAAACAAAACGATAGTTGTTAAAGAAAGCATAAATAAGTAGGACATGGGGGGAAAAGCCAAAAAAAGAAAAAAGGTAAGAATAGCAACCATCAGATCTGTTCGGAACAGCAATGTTCCCCGTCCCAAGTCCACCAAACATGTTCATCAACATCTCCAACCCCATATTGTCAAGCGTTCCTACTATTTCAAGAAAATCACAAACCAAATGTGAGATGGGATTGCAGAGAGAAAAACAGAAAGAAAAGTGTTCAAGTGATCATTAACATACTTCCTTTAATTATTTATTTATTTTTATCTTTTGCCTTTTGGAAAGAGGATGGATGAAGGTGATTTATGATGGCAGATTCTATCTACGCGTTTATTGGAGATTTACAACAGCGAGAGTTGTCAAAACAGGCCTTTTATTCTTTACTGATTGATAAAAGTTGTTTTGTATAGCAAGGAGGGATGGAATCACGGGATTCATCAAGGTTTTCTTATCATTTGTGTGAACCGCCTTTTAGATGAATGAAAGCAGAATTTGCCCACATAGACAAGTCAAACATCTACCAACAGGCCAGTGGCCTAGCAGTACAACGCCCCTACTTCCTAAAGGGAAGTCAGGGGTTCAAGCCTCAGTGGAGGCATGTGTGTGTGAGTACCAACTAAGAAAAAGAAAAACAGTTCAAGCATCTTAGGACATCCCTACATAGAATCACTGTTAACAAGTTCCTCTCATAGTAATGAAACAATTCAGATGATTCAAATTGGAGATGGGTGAGCAAGATGAGAAATGACCCCATCTTACACAATAAAGTTTAATTGATACAACGAACAACTAATCATTATGCTGAAACATAACATAACCAGTCCATGGGGGCATCACTAGTGAGGCTAAAGAATAAATGAAAACCACTAATCATTATGCTAAAACATGAAATCCGGTAAACAGAAGCAAACAGAAATTGCATTTCCAGAGACAAAATAAATACCTGTTGCTCCACCAGTTTGGCCTGGTTCCCTGCAAGAGTACACCAATTTTTTACCGAACAGAGATCAGGAACTGAAAATCATAATTAATGCACATAATACTCCGAGTGAGTATTACAAATGAAATAAGGTCAGAAAAGACAACCAGATACCCAAATAATCTGGCCAATAAATTGGACACACAGGTCATTGTCAAAAGTTAGACAATGTTGCAGAATATTTGAGTTGGTGTTGATAAAGGAAGTGTGCAGGGTTGAAGTATCAGGCTTGAATAAGCTTTTAACTGGAACACCAAAAGCAAAGAATGTCCCAACTTACTGGGTTGACTGCTGCCGACCAGGTTGAGAAAACATAGATTGCTGTAAAGTCAAAAGTTGCTGCAATAGAAAAAATGAAAAATAAAGAAAGATAAAGAAGATATCAGCTGAAGTGTATAATGACCAATAATTAGCAAAAATAAATAAAAAGGCATAAATATGCACCGCATACTATTGTAGGTCATCTGCTGTTATGTTGCTCAAACACACAACAAAAGATGAACTCTTCCACCTCCAAAAAAAAATACAAACAAAACCCTCCGCGCGTGTGCGCGCGCGCGCGCGGACATTAACCATTTTCCTGCAAGCATAAAAGCCTCCCTCTTAAGTTCAAATTTTCTATTTAGATGAATAAAGCATCCTACTATGCTTGTTAAGAAGTGGTCTCAACTCTCAACATGGTAGCATATTGATCTTACCATTTTCCATATTCAAGATCGCAACATCACTAACCCATTTGGTGCAATTGATTTGCTTCATTAACTGATTTAAACCAATTGGGGCCATTTCCAACTAAATTATACACACTTATTAACTTTACCTATCCTTGTTGGCTTCAATGATACCTCAATATTAATTATACACTTTCTGCCTTGTAGTTCTAGGTTATCTTTCAAAGTAAAATTCTCATCAGTTCAAGGAGGACCATAGTGTTATTGTACTTTGTTGTCTATGTATCCAGTTATCTCCCACTGTCTCTTTCTGTTATGTTCACCAATCAGAATTTCTCTTACACTGCCAAACGGCAACGACTTCCAACTGAAGGGGTTGTGGTGTTCGGACTTGCCCCAATCGGACTTAGAGAATATGGCAAAAAAGGGCCATAAAAGAATATGGCAAAACAAACTACACTACACAAAGATGCAAATTAGTTAATCCATTCCCTGTGATGTATGTATATGCAAAGGGCCATAAAATAATATGGCAGAACAAACTACACTACACAAAGATGCAATGTAGTTAGTCCATTCCCTGTGATGTATGTATCCAAATGGTTAAGACTTAATATATATAACATTAATCTAACATGATTTACGGCTTGAATCACAATATTAAAGCTAACATTTTAAATAAATAAATAATAAAAACAACAACACAAACAAACGAACAAACGGAACTTATCAATGAGGGCTGCAGTGCAAGAAATCCTCTTTTCACACTTTCTCAGTTCTTAAAGTAATCTATTATTAATGCAAAATTTATGCTCCGTTTTTCCAATTTAAGTATTCTCCCCTGACAAAACTCCCCATTAGTTTATCCCCTTATTTTTTCTTTTTGCCAATTTTAAGTCCATGTGGACTCCCAATTACTTGGTCTTATACAGAGAACAAAAACTAAATATATCATTTTCACAATCCTGGTAAGATATATATATATATATATATATTCCTATTTGAAACTCATACAATAACTTCTACTTTGGAAGGTGAGGAAGTACCACTGTTAAGGAATTTAAAATGAAAAAAGACCTTGTAACAAACCCATGCACCAGTGCGATGTGGCTAGACTAAAGTTGATGGCTCCCAAGAACAAGAAAAATACAAAAAAGAGTGCAGGTTAAAAACTCAGATAGTAAGAACATGAAATTTGGCAAACCATTTAGCAAAAAATATGATCTGAATATATTCAGCGGATAAGTTACAAGTAGCCAACCCCAACTAGTTGGAACAAAGGCTTTGCTGAGTTGAACGTGTTAATATGTCATTCTGACGTCTCCTAAGTCGCAACTTTAGGCAAAATATACCCGGAAGTCTGCCCAAAATTCATCACTTACGGGACCAAGGAAAATTATGGAGAAAGGCATCCGAAAGCTTTATGTGATCCTTCAGGGATTGGTCTAGTGCTTGTGACATTTGTGAGTAAAGCCATTGGTTTGGGATGTCCAGAGGTTCTTGTTCTGGCACTTATAGTGGGCGCAAGCGGAGGTGGCCCCTCAACCCGGGCCAACCACAAAAAGGTGAGAGCATGCTTCACACTTTCTCCTCGGGGAGAAGTGACATGCACATGAGCCCCGGGCTTGACAACTATCCAAGCAGGCATCAATGACTTGTAACATTATGCTTGGGTTTGGAACATGTAGCTCACATCCCCTATAGCCATAAGCCCTCTATAATTAAAAAACAAATTAATGGGCTAAAATAATGAGATTGAGTGCTCCAAAACCTAGAAGAACCCTTGAACTATAAGTCATGCCCTTTATATCTAATTCAATACTTCTCTCTTGCTCCAGCTCCGTTCAGATCACACCACTCTCACTCAAACAGACCTTCCATTACACATCTCCATCCAAATTCAGAAATAAAACAGATAAACCACCATGCAAGTATTAAAAGGACAATAACTACCTCCATTGTCTCAGGGGAACAGACATTTTAACCAATTACCTGCATTGTCTCGGGGGAAGTTAACTGGCGAAAAAATTCTGGGTTTTGCATCATCTCTCTAAGTTGGGGATTGGTATCAAGCATGCTGCGCAGCTGGGGATTGAAACCAATAATCTAACAACCAGCATATATTAGAGAATACAGAACTTCAAAATCATACACGAATCTTGTTATACAAAAGAGTAAAGTAATACCTGGTTCATGTACTGAGGGTTGGAGAGGAAAGACTGCATCATCTGTGATACAGCTGGGCTTTGCATAAACTGATTCAATGAAGAGGGATCCTGCATGGCACCTAACATGTTTGGGAGACCAAGTCCACCTAACCCACCAAGTGCTGGAGATGCAGCATCCCCAGCAGGATTAGATCTAGTAGTATTGTTTGCTTGGGCACCTCCAGCTGCCAAATTAAACATTAAGTTAACAATTTACTGGTAACACTAGATTAATAATTATTTTTCGAAAAGAACCCTTTAAACAATAAACAGTGAAAACAAATCAGGAGCCAAATAAATCTTTGAAGGAATTAAAGAAAACTTTAGTTAGTTCTTACCCATATGCAGCAGTAATTGATCAAAAGAATAGAGTAGGCATAATATAAAATTGTTCATCATTTTCTCAAATTATTCAATTCGGTTGGAGAGAGGGAGAAGGGGGGTGGTTGTGTGTGTGTGTGTTGGTGGTGTGTTGGGGGGGGGGGGGGGGGGGGGGGGGGGGGAGGGGAGAGTGTATCAGAGATTGAAATGCACAGCTGAGCCAAACCAGTTTAAATGTAACATCTTCAATGGAACAATATAAAATATAATCTACAAGGGATGTATCGTGCAAAAGAGCCAACCAAATTCCCATTTGCTAGCTTTTTCAATGAAATTCCCAATTAATGTTGGTTTCAAACAGTTAACAGATCAAATGCAATGAGATCAGTTTGATAGGAGCCAAATATATCTTTTGACTGGTAAGAATTAACTTTGAACGAATTAAACAAAACTTAAGTTACTTCTTACCCATATGCAGCAGTAATTGATATAAAATATAAAGTAGGAATGATATAAAATTGTGCATCATTTTCTCAAATTATTCACTTAGGTGAGAGAGAGAGTATCAAAAATCAGAAAAAACTTAATATTTCAAACCAAGCACTACTGTATATATCAAAGTTTTTAAACCCATAACTTTTGAAATGCCCCATAAAATAGAATCGTTCATGTGGTTAATGGTTCAACAGCTGAGCCAAACCGGTTGAATGTAAAACATCTTCAATGGAACGATATAATATATAATCTACAAGGGGTGTATCATGCAAAAGAGCCAACCAAGTTCCCATTTGCTAGCTTATTTAATGAAATTGGTTTCAAATAAAGCAGTTAACAGATCATATGCAAAGAGTTCAGTTTGATAGGTTTGACTGTATTTTCTATTTCACTAAAGCAACCCAAATGAGAGGATAAAGCAAATAAATAAAGAAAGTAAAATACATGGGAAAAAAAAAATGAGGCTAAAGAGAAATAGAAATTCAAACAGATTAGGGGTTGAACAACCTCCACCGAATGGATGGCGAGGTTCAGAATGAGCTGCTTCAAAACCAAAACATCCAAAAAGGAAACAAGTAAAAGAGGACATTAAAGCATACCACCAGCAGAGGCCCAAGGGTTGGGAAGTGGATTGGTATTTGGAGCAGGAGAATTATTAGCTGTTTCAGAACCAGCGATTGTAGGGTTAGTCGACTGATCTCCACCATGGTCCCCACCTTGGGTCCCCAAAAGAGCTGCAAATGGGTTTGAGCCTAACTCATTTGTAGTATCCCCAGTTGCTGATGTTGCATTCAGAAATGGCTCTTGAACGTTTTCATACATGCGCCTGAGCATGTTGAATCCCTCAGGAGTAGATTCAATATTGCTCATCGCTCTGTCAGTATTGCGCATCATCTCACGCATAAGTTCAGGGTTTCTTGCAGCCTCCATTGTTTGTCGGAGAGTGCTAGGGTCATTGAGTATGTGGCCTAGCTCCGGATTTCGATCAACAATTTCACGCATCTGAGGATTGTTTGAAATCAAGTTGCGCATGATATCTGGATTATTCATTAGGTTCTGAACAAGAGGTGTGTTCATGATGTCTCTCATCATGTCAGGGTTTTGAGTCAACTCTTGCTGCAAATGTTCAAATTCTGGAAGTCCAGCTCCAAACAGACCAACACTTCTGCCTGGTTCATTCAAACCAAGTCCAGGAAATAGTGAGGTTCCAAGACCAGATCCTCCGAGTGCACCACTTTCATCAGAACCAACACTCCTTGCAACATCTGGAGCAGTATCTGAACCTCCAGTGTTGGTAACAGCTACACCAGTAGTGTTGGCTGATGCAGCTGAAGCAAAACCACGAACCAAATGGACAGTGTGATCTGCCTCTAAACCTGTCCACCATAAACAGAAATAAATAAATAAATCAAGAAAAATCTAACTTTCAAGTGTGGTAGTGGTACATTTTGACAGTTCATAATGACGCCATTTAGGTGCCCCAAGTTTCTAATGCCTTTCAAGATCTATCCTTTATCCGACCAAGCAGAAACAATGATATCTGTACATGCATATAGAACAAACAAGGTGCCAAATAAAACGGAAGCAAGAAGGATAATATTCCAAGGGTACTGAATGGAAGTGCAGAGGAGTCAACACTAACTACAATATGGAATGAAGCTTGAGGTCTCAATGCATGATGCACTAACCATAACGATTTCATGTTTTGTCATTCTTTCTCATGGCACAACGTTGATGATAACCAATACACAAACCATCACCTTATCCTTATCTTTATTTCAAACTTCATAAAGATCAATAGATATGTGGTGGACACTCTGGTTATCAAAGAAACAGAGGTTGTATATAACATATTCATATTTAATTCTTACCGTTAGAGGCAGCTAATTTTGGATATCAATTTTCCTCATGGGAGGGAGTGATTATTATAATTTAAAAAAAAAAGGAAAAGAAAAAAGACTCCAAATGGAAGGAAAAAGAAAATGAACTTTTTACATTTACCTAGTGGTGATGGATGTTGGCTAAACAGATAAGTGGATAAGAATAAACTGATTTATTCCAAATAGATCTATACTGTGTAAGGATGTGGCAAAGTCAGTGAATCAGTTGTTTTAGTATTTTATTGCAGCAGAGGACCTATGGGTATTTTAATAAATCTTCAGTCCAGAGTAGACCAGTGTTGAGAAAATTTGTTGTACAAAATTTGTTATCGTATTGCTCTGAGTGGAGGTCAGATGAGGGTAGAAGGACGAGAAGAAGATTTCGAATAACAGCCCTGATTCCAAATATGATAGGTTTTGTAAGCTCAAAAGGAGTAGTCACACTTTTATGGACCCTTCAAGCATAGCTTTCACTCTCTTCGATCATTTACATTGTGGATCCTATGAAAGAATCATCGGTAGTAGCTCTTCTGTCTCCTAGTATTTAATAGGCCTATATGCTTTGTTGTATCGCACACCATGCACGTAGTTTGGTCATTGCTTGAGATCTGAGTCTTCTAAATAAACAATCCATTATTTATTCATCTTTTTTCTAAAAAGTATGTACCTTAGTCAGCCAACAATTTAGCTCTCCTGAGAACTTTCTAACAAAATAGGAACCACCATCAAGAATATAATGCCACAACACTTTTTGGCTGTTAAAACATTTGATCTCCCTAAGCCTATATCGAGTATATGTGTGTGTATACACAAGTCATATCAATTTAAACTGGAGTAAGTATAACTTCTCATAACTTAAATGGGCACTTATATGCACACTATTGAATTGGGTACCTCTATCGTGCTTATCATGACCCGAAGAATCAACTGAATTGAAAAGTCTCAAGTGTTAGATGCATAATTCATAATTCTATTTATATTAAAAAAAACTACTGGAACAAAACTATAATCTATAGTGTCATGTCCTCGGGAGAGCTCTCAAACTCCAATCGCCCTGAATTTGGTACATATGATATGCATGACAGGTATACCCAATCCAACGGTTGGTTCAGCATTTAGTAATTTGATCCTAACTATATACTACATTTTTACATAAATACATATTGAAACCATTGCATTGCCGTTCCTCAATCAAAATTCAAGATTTCCTACTGTACCATTTAATCTATAAAACAACAAAATAGAATTAACCCGGTTTCTATTAGCAATTATATTCCATTTCCTTAGTAAACTACAAACTGCCAATCACAATTGACCTAAAAAAACTGATTAAGTCAACGAACAATATACTTATAAATTACAAAACCGTAACGGATCCCCAAACAGAGAGATTCAGTTGATATATATATAAAAAAATAAATAAATAAATAAATAAAACCCAACTCCACCCAAACGGTTAAACCCAAAATACACACGCATGTAATGAAAATGATGAAAATACCATAGCTTTCTAGGGTTTGGTCGTCCTTCAAGATCCGGCCTTTGTAAATCAAACGCTGCTGTTGGGCGGGGATATCGCAATTCTGGGCAATGACCGACTTGAACGATTCAACGGTGGAGTTGAGTCTGATTTGCACCGAGAACCTGGAATTGTTGGAGCATCGGATGTGGATAGTGACTCCATCGCCGCCATTGGATTCGTTCGCGTCGATCGCAGCACCATCACCGCCCATTATTCGTCGTCCTCCCCAAATTTGGGAGGTTTATTAACTCCTCTAAATTGGAAAACAAAAAAAAAGAAAGAAAGAAAAGGAAGTGATTGAACGATCGAATGAAGAAATTAAAACCCTGATTTTGGAAATCAGAATCTGAATTTCTTTATGTGATTGGCACAACCAAAAGGCAAGAGCAAGCGATATGGGAGAGCATTTTTGTAGTAGAACTCGATTGTAGACGACTTGAAAGGTAAAAGGAAAAAATAAATAAATAAAAAGTGTTAAAAAAATAAATAAATAAAAATAAAAACCTCTTGAAACAAGTAAAATAAAAATGAATTTGGAAAAACAATTATATAAAGAATTTTGAAAAAAAAATAGTAAAAAAATGAGAAAAAAAAAAATTTCCCAATAGATATAGAGGTGTCGAACAATACTCAACAAGAAAAAGAAAAAACAAGAATTAGGATTAAAGTTTTTGTGCCTGCCTAAAAAATATTAAAAAAAAAAAAGAAAAAGATGTGAAACATTAAAAAAAGAGAATAGAGGATTCTTGGAATTCAAAAATTAATTGTAAATAAATCGAATAATTATGTAATCTAATATTGTTAAATACATAACTATGCATTCTTTGTCATTTTGAATTATTTTGTGTTTTATTGTTAAGGTCAAAATTTATCCTTGTTTGATTAGCCAAAAATAAAAAAGAAAAAGAAAACTTAAATAGGAAAATATTAATTTTTATTTCTATAAATTAAGGACGGGATTTACGTTGTTGTTAAAAAAGCTTTTATTAATAGGGTTGTCATATAATTGATGTCAGTAAAAACAATTAAAGTGTTTGGCAATATATGAATAATTGTTTACCAAATATTTTAAATTTTTTTGATAATAATATTGATTAAAACACTTTTATTACTAATTTCACTAACAATATTCTTATATTTTATAATATATGACATCATAAACGAAGGAAGAAAATGTCATTATAAAAGGGATATAAATTATAATTGTGTAAAAATAGTCACCTAAAATCTAAAAAATTTACTCGTGAGGTAGTTTTGAAAGTTGACATTATTGAAATATAATTTCAATAACATATATTATAACATATATTACAATATATGCTAATGGGAAAAGGAATATAACATATATGTATAATATATTATATAGATATAATATATATTTCAATAGAAATTTGTTTATTTCATCCCGTTTTAAAAAATTTATCATTTGAAAAATATAAAGTTTCATATTAAAGTTTGATCAATTGTACAATAACTAGTTTGGGTACAATATCAAGATAGAAAAAGGCACAGGGCATGCTTGATTTTTAACTTTGAAAATAGTTCTTAATAATTTAAATAACAGAAAATTATCTTCTCATAATTATAAAATATATTTATCTAAAAACATATGAATTACAAATCAAGTATACCCCTAACTTTTCATAAAATTTGAGCAAGATTAACTTTTATTACTTGATATATTCTAAACTGTGTGAAACATCTTCAATACTATTATCTACTTCAATAATAGTTCAATATAATTTTTTTTGGTCAAATTACCTTTTTATGGTGAACGCAGTATTATTAACTTATAATATATATATATATATATTTAAAAAAAAAAAAATCTAATCAACCCATAAAAAAACCCAATCAAATGTTATTAATATATATATATATATATATATATATATATATATATATATGTATGTATATATATTGTAAAACTTATTACTCTGTATATAAAATTGATATGGAAATTAATATTTTATATTTCAGTTGTATTTTATGATTTTTTTTTTTTTTTCATTTCATGTCAAAATATAAAGTTATTAAGGTCTTTTAATACATGAAAATGTCAACTTTGTTATTTTTTATATTTTTATTGACAACAAGAGTGTCGTTTAACACACACCTCAAATTTCAAGAAATATCAAAGTAATAAAAATCAAATACTTTGTCATAAATAATTTGTTCAAACTTTAAAGAAGTCAGTACCATAAACAAACTCTAAATTATTGTGTATGAATGATTTGAAGTGACACAGCACTATCTGTTTATAAATTCTACACATTTTTCATAAATGGCACGTTAGTTGCTTTCATACATGACTCCATTTTCTCAAAAAAGAAGAAAAAAAAAAAATTAAAAAAAACTATTTATTAATAATCTCAGCTAAATAGATGATTTTAAAAAAAATTATTAATTTAGCTGAGAGGATAAATAAGATATCTCATTTCTAAAAGTAGGATTGTAAAACGTCAAAAAAGATCGTGTGTGAAAAATCCTCGTGTGTGCCACTGTATATTTATATATATATAAAAGAAATAAAAAGCGACATAAAACGACTAGGTCTGGCCGTGAACGACCTGTGGACACATTGAACCGTACTTTACTGCGCGCCTACCCTTTGTTCCTTCTCGAATGACACTGTTCTGGCCATGCTTGTGAATTGTGATGTTCCATGGCGATATCCTTCAGAGGCAATGCCTTGTTATCTCGCCTGAAAGCCATACTCACGTTACAGGTCTCTTTCTCTCTCTACATATATATAAAATATGTACGTATATGTATATATCTTGTTTGTGGCATTTATTCGAACACGTACCTGACAATATACATTTCTCATGTCTCAGAGATTTAACCATACATTGATCGAACATGAGATTCAAGCTCAATACAATTCTGATGATGATTCTTATTCTTATTCTATGCTCCAGCAAGGTACATATACACTTGAATTTTGCAAAAGTTGAATAAGAGGTACATTCTTGTATCTGCTCTTATCAGAGTCAATTTACAATACATGATTGTCCATCTGTCTTGTTTTCTACATGTTAATGTTTCTAGGTTTGTTTATAAGTTTCTTATATCTGAATGTGAAAGTTAAACTATCAATTATGACAATGGTGCAGGTCAAATTGACGTTTCAAAATGGACGAAGGTTGATTCAAGGACCGTTGGGATAGACCGATCAATGATCTCTCGGGAGTCGTCGATTGTTCTGAATATTCTTCGCAGAGAAGGTGATATTAAGTTATATTTGTGTCATGATTTTCGCCGTTATTGCCACTTCGTGGGTGGTCATCCTACATGCTTTGAGATATATTTAAATTGGTTCCAAGTTCAGTTGCTGTGTTTTTGTTTTAAAATTATTGTTCACTGCAATGTCATAGTTAACAAGCAGCTCCACTGGCTCCTGTATCTTTCTTCCCGTGTAAATGGACTGGGTTTTATTTAATACTATAAGATAACCAATTAATAATTAATACCCTCATCTCAAGCTTTGGTAATCTTACCCTTTTTCAACGTCTGAAGATGTTCTTATTTAAGTTCAGAGTTGTTTGGGTATCCATAGTGCAGAGTGGTTACCTCTGACATCATTTCTCCTTTTCTATTCCAAGTAGATTTATTCATTTTTTTTTCCTTTTTTTCCTTTTATTTTTTATTTTTGTAAAGGGCAATGGATATAAGTTCAATCCTATGAGTTGGTGTAGTGTTAGATCATGGTATTGTGCTTTGATTAATCATTCGTCTTTGAATTTTCTTTTGCTATATAGTTTGAAAGTCTTGATTTATGGCTGCACTTTCTTTTTTCAAGAGTCATTATTAGCCCAGTCTCTATTTTTTTCACATGGGGCTCTACCTCTTTTCTTAGTTTAGATTGAAATTCTTTTAAAGGAATTTTAAGGGAAATAACTTCAAGGGGCTTCCATTTAAAAGTCCACAACTTGTCAACTTGATGCTAGATTTCACATATTTCACTGTGTGTGATATTGCAAGGCTGATAAAGTGCTTTGATCTCACAATGCCCTCTTCCTAATGGATCACGATGTTCCCCTGAGAGTAGAAGACTGTAATCACATATTATTTGTGTGCCTCTCTTATTATGTTCTTGTTGTACAGGTGTATTTTTACTAGTAATTCTTTATTTCTTTTACGGTCTCTGTTTCTAAAGATTTGTATAAAATGCAGGATTTGAAGCATACTTGGTGGGTGGCTGTGTTAGAGATTTACTCCTAAATAAAATACCCAAAGATTTCGATGTGATCACCACAGCTAAACTTAAACAGGTTTTGTGATGCTGTTTTAGACTCTCTGTAACTGGCATTGGGGCCACCAACTGATAATTGTTTAGATAAAGATTCAGTTGTGTCCTCCTTTCAAGTCAGATAGTATTTCAAGAAACCTTTTGCATGTTGAGCTGCAAAGAGTTTATGCTGCTTATATACTATTTTGCAGATCAAGAAGCAATTTCATCGTGCCGAAATTGTTGGACGGCGATTTCCTATATGTATGGTGCATGTGAGAGGTTTGGTAATTGAGGTAGGTTGCTACATCTGGTTATTATGTTAGGACCTTCTGTATGGTTTCTCTCTGGGCTACTAATTACACTGCTGTCTTTATTTTTTATCCAGACCTGGGTTCATTATGTACTTTGTATGATATTTTACCAGGTTTCTAGTTTTGAAACAGTGGCACAACATGCTATAAAAAAGGAAGATGTTCTTCTCTCTCAAATACCAGGTGGCTGCGACAAAAAGGATCTTGTTCTCTGGAGGAATTCCATGGATCGAGACTTCACAATTAACAGGTTCTTTTTATATGTGTGTTTATATATATATATGTGTGTGTGTGTGTTTTTCTGTAGTTCTGAAGTTGTAGGTTATACATAGAGGACTGGTTTCATTTGTCAACCATTCTGCTGATATTTAAAAAAGAAATACTTATTTTTATTGTCTGAATTTTTTTCAAGTCAGTTGGATGCCATCTAACTCTGTTTTTGAAATCGTGGAGCAGTTTATTCTTCGACCCTTTTGTGAATAGAATCTATGATTATGCTAATGGAATGATGGATTTAAGGTCCTTAAAGGTACCACTTCGTACTTCAGTTGAGAAACCTGTTGATGCAATCAATTTCGGTTTGTGTTATTGGAAGTTTACTAAGGTTTTTTCATGATATGCATTCAGCTACAAACATTGATCCCTGCTCAGTTGTCATTTAGAGAGGATTGTGGTATGTTTATCCATCTTTTATATATAGATCCATTATCACCACAACATCAACAGAGAATTTTAACTACACTCTTCAATTCAGCAAGAATCTTGCGGGGCGTGAGAATTGCAGCTCGTCTTGGCTTGTCTTTTTCAAAGGAGATTGAGACTGCCATATGTGAACTCTCTCCATCTCTTAGATGCTTATCTAAGGTACTTCTAGAATAGTTTAACAAGAATACCATGTCACTTGAATTTTGTATTTAGGTATTTTTTTAGCAATTTATCCCTTTTTGTACATGTTTCTTTTGTCTGTTGTCCCTCCCCCCCCCCCCCCCCCCCCCCCCCCTCTCTCTCTCTCTCTCTCAAACATGTATTGTAACTGATTAAAAGGAACTCTTTAGTAGCTTCCCCCTTGGGCCGGCATTGTTGTCCAAGTAAATGTTTTTTAAAGATGAATTCTTCATCATATACATAATGAATCCTTTACTTATCCAGTCTAGGATAATGATGGAGGTGAATTATATGCTGTCTTATGGAGCCGCTGAGCCTTCTCTCCGTTTACTTCAGAGATTCAACCTGCTTGAGATTTTGTTTCCATTTCATGTAAGTCTCTTTTGTTGTTGTTGTTTTTGTTGAAGGCAAGCATATATCTGAAACACTTCTTTGATTACAGGCGGCATACCTTGCCAAACAGGCCACTAAGCAATCCAGTGAAAGTTCCGTGATGTTGATGGTAAACTTTATTTCCCATGTAAATTCTTTGTGAAATATTAACACATGGCCCTTCCCTATGTGTATGCTTACTGTTTCTGTTATGACCTATTGAGCTTGCTTGTTTCAGGTCTAATCCTAATATATCCGTTTATATTAGTTTTGATGGCCTTGCGTCTTTCATTATTTAACCCCTTTCTATCAGTTGCTTTCCTGTTAAACAAGCCTAGTTTTTAATAACAGTTTTTTCCTCTGCAGAGACTGTTTTTTCATTTGGATAAGGTGGTTACTTGTGACCGACCTTCAGATTCCACTTTGTGGTGAGTTGAACTTTTAGTTTACCTAACAAGGTTACTGTTTTCATGACCTCACTATCACTATGCGTACCAGAATCTTCCAAGTCTCATGATATTTGCCTCCATAAAATCTATAGTTGTAATAATACAACAAATTTTACTGTTTATTCATAGAATCTGTGTACGTAAATAGATTCTTCTCATTGGATTCCCAGATCAGGCAACTTGCTGATATGTCCGTTCAGTGTTTTGTCATCCTTGTTCTTTTACTGTCTTTTGTCCCTTGATCTTTCTTGATCACTATAAAATTTATGTTCTTCATCCTTTGGAACATTATTTCACTTTGTTGTTTCTCTCTCTTTTTTTTTTTTTTTTTTTTCTTTTAGCATATTATAAAAATTTGTCATCTTTCTATGGTTTCAGAAACCCCTAAGTTAAGCTTTGTTGTTTCTTTCCCTGATCAGTCGATGCATAATCCTATTGTAAATTCACATTTTGTGATAATATACATTTAGGAAATTAAATAAATGGTTTTCAAATTTGTCCATTGGAAAACCCAAAATCTCTTTCTACATTTGGGGGCAGCTTATATTGATTGTGATGGATTTGCTTGATGAAGTGTTTTATCTTAATCAACATCTAGCATTTTTAGATGACCTTACTCATTGTATCGAGTGATTTCTCACCTTGCTTAAGATACCAGAAGTGCCTTTTTGCAAGCTTATAGAGAAAGTGGATTACAAAGTGTCATCTTCTTTTCATTTATTATTATTTTTTGGGACCATCATATGGTCTACGCTTTGTTTTAGTTGCATTTTGCCTAGACCATGGGATATGTTTGTTCTTATATTTCCCTGTTATTCTCTGTTTGAGAGGCTGTTGAATGACTTTGTTTATGTGCATGGGACAGGGTTGGACTTTTGGCATTTCACCTGGCATTGGTGATGAAACCCCAACATGCTTTTGTGGTTTGGACTTTTGCTTCTGTTTTGTATCATGGAAAGTGGAATGAAGGTGTTAAATTTGCACGTGAACATGCTCGAGCATCTATTAGTTTTGTACCTGAAATTTCAGAAAATTGTGATTACCTATCAGATGATCTTGCAGAAAGAGTTTCTCAACTGGCATTGCTAGCGCAACACTCTATAGGTGCCTTGACTGAGACAAACAGCCTTCAAGAAATAATGGCCAAATTCCCAGATTTACAATGTTCTGGTTCGGTAATTAATCTAATTTTTGGTTTTAATAAGATAAATTTTCCAACACTAAAGAACCAAAGAGTAGTTAAGCTTGACATGGATTTCGTATCACGTGTCTAAGGTTGCCTGGACCTTTTATAGTGGTATTTTTAGATTAATATTTGACCACACGGTAGCTATTGACTTCTCTGTTTTGTCTTCAAACCATGGTCCACATCATCTTAATTTTTCATCAGACAGTGAAGCAAGTGCCTGCCATCATCCCTGAGATTTTAGTCACTGGTGAATTAGCTGTCTCACTTCTTTGGTTGCCAAATCCTGTCCATTAGCGCAATATGTTAATCATGTATGCTAGAGGCTGGAAGAAGCGGCCTTATTGACTTGATTGATAGTCATCTTTTATGCTTATATAAAAAAAATTTGGTAGTCATCTTTTCATTGCATAAATACATCTGCAAATACGTACCATGTTTGTCATCATCTGGCCTTTGTCATTTATTGCACATGCATATTATGCATACTTTCATGCAATTTTGGATTGTGACTATCTCGATGATATGAAAACTATCAATTTGTATATATAGTTATTGTTTCCATTACTGGATAGGAGGAGATAATCGGTCTGAAAAAAACACACACATTATGGCATACTTAGAGTATGGATTGTATTTAAATCTTAAAGTTTGGGCGTGTTATATCTAAACCATAGGTTCTTTATATATATGTATGTATGTATATATAGTAAACATTGGGTATCACATATTGTTTTCTCACAAACTGTCTTCCAGAACTAAAACACGATATGACAAGTATAGCATTTATGTATATGACACCACCCAACGACTCTTTTGGGAGTTTTTTAATAAAAAGAATAAACTTTGAGCTTTCTATTTGAAAATGCACTGGTGTTTTTAAGTACTTTAAAATCAAAGAGAGCCTTTACAGTGTCTCCCTGTGGTTGTGTTTGTAGTCTGTCTCCCCTGAACAAGAATTTTCCTGACACAATTTGTTTGTCATAGAATAAACCTAACTATTACACTGGTCACAATTTGACACCATTTATTTATGTCATAGAATAAACCTAACTATTATTAATTTTTAAAGTAGCACGGAGTATTTGGAAGTAGGAGCAAACTTTACAAATTCAAATTTGGAACCTGGAAGATGTATCGACACATTTTTTTTTTTGGTAAGTGAGAGATGTATCAATGCATTATACATCTAACTTATGGTCCTTTGCTACAAATATTTTGTTGAGCAATTGAGCTTATACAGCTACCATTTTATTTTGCCTGCAGTTTTATATTAGATATGATAAAATCTCAGATAATGAGAATATATCTCAATTAAACCACTTCGATTGTTAGATGTGAAATAATTATTTGACAGCTCATTTTATCATGAAAATGAATGCTACTAGCTACATATTTCAATTTACTAATTATTAGGTACTTTTAAATGTATTGCTTTCAATTTACTTAAGAAATTGTCTTGCAATTCTCGCTGCGCCTCATTAAGGTAGGATAAAGGTTGCCCCAAATATCCATATCTGATAGTTGCCACGTCCAAGGGCAATCTGAACTACCAAATATCAATTTTGGTAATGCCTGCATGGTGATCACAATGTAGCCCAGTATCAGGCAAATTCTAAGAACTCTATTGTGCAGTCAAAAAATTATTGGCTCACCTTGATCCTGTTCTGGAATATCCACACCCCACCTTGGCTCTAAGGGCAGGTCAGGAATATAATCCATTTGGATTGTTTCATTGTCCTCCTTATTTGGTATCTACTTGCCTTGATGGGAAGAATTTTTTGCATTGTTTTTTGGGATTATTTCATTGTCCTCCTTACTTGGCATCTAGTTGCCATAAACATGATGGGAAGATTTTTTGCAGTGTTTGTTGGGATATATACAGTGTTCACACATACTGATGCATTACTAGTATATGGTTTAATTATTTATTTGATGACAGTTAAAATCATTTGTTTTTTTTTTTTTTTTTTAGGTATTTGTATCCAACAAAATGGGGACAAGAGTTGCCGAACTTTTTAGTGTTTTGACCCATGATGCTGAATCTTATAAGATGGGAAGGCAAAGTTTTGAGATTGATTATCACTTGCTTGGGAAGGGAATTTTGACTGAGACAAGGTTTGTTCTTGGCAAAGTTATTGTAGACAGTTTGAGCAGTGAAGTTGTACAAGTGAGTACAGTTGTGAAGGAGGAAAAAAATCACCTGCACACATTTGATTCTAAACACAAGGGAGAGATGTTTGGGGAGAGTTGCGACCTAGCACGTTCTGATCATGAAGTGGGTTACAATTTTGGAAAGGAGAATAAAAAACGCAGCATGTCACCATCAAATGTCGAACAGCAAGTGAGGGCCAAGAAGCATAAATTGGTTGGGAAAGAATGCGAACTTTCAGAGCAGGGAATTGCTAAGAAACAGAAGGCAGTTGTGAATAAAAAGTCTGAGGAGGTGGATAAGAAACAAGAGACATTCAAGGACAAACAACCGCCAGAGGTGGCTAAGAAGCATAGCAAGGAGGTTAAGAATAACAGTCACTGTGTGTCACAGCAAGGGATTGAGACATGCCATTTACCACCAGAGGAGATTATTACAACGCAGGAAAGTGCATTAGAGAATAACTATCGATTACTGCCATCGGAGGTGACAGAAATCTTGCGGAAGGTGGCTGACAATAAAAAGTGCCAGGAGAGGGATGAGAAGCATTTGAAGATGTTAGAGAAGGAGAAATGTCGATTAGTGCCTATGGAGGTGACAGAAATCTTGCGGAAGGTGGTTGACAATAAAAAGTGTCTGGAGAGGGATGAGAATCATTTGACGGTGTTAGAGAAGGAGAATTGTCATCTGTCTAAGAAGCAGCACGGGGCAGTTAAGAAGTGTCATTTATCACAGGTGAGGATTGAGCAGCAGGAAGGGCTGTTGGAAGATAAAAAACAGCAGAATGGGGTTAGAGAGAAGAATGAGAAACATAAACAAGAAATAACTACGGAGAAAAGAAGTCGGTCACTGCTTTCTAGTCTCTTCAAGTGAATGCATCTTTGTCTGTTGTAAATTTAATTATCTTTTAGGACAGTATATCACCACCAATTAGACAACTGATAGGTAAGTTTCATTTACCTTCTCACCTTTTCTTTTTCTTTTTTTTTTTTTTTTTGGTTTCTTTATTCTACTAAATCTTGCATTTCTTCCGTAGGTGTACAACAAATTCCAGGGCTTATGGCAGCGTCCCTTGTTCTATAACACATTCTCATTCATTGTAACATAATGCCTTCTTTTTGGCTGTTAGATTATTTTAAGTTTGAATAACATATGTACTTGCATTACCTTTGGATAACTTTTTGAGTAGCTTTATGTACTGAATGACTGGTTCAAACAAGTTATTCAGCCTTGGATTTTGATGTACTTTTAGGTTTGAGATTGGATCAAGGCATAATGCATTCCTATACTTGGTGTGATATGGAGGTGTTTTTTTTAATTGATTTGAGTTCAAATGATCCACACACACTTCTATTTTAGTAGAATTTTCCCCATGATAGTTATCAACCTTATTTGTTCCAGCAGCAGTTTCCTTGTATAATTTTTGGCATTGACTCAGAATATAATTGCTTTCTGACCTAGCATTTGTATACCCCTCTTCATTTATGCAAATTGATGTTCATTCTCTTCTTCTTCTTATATATATATATATATATATATATATCCTCCTCCCCCAAAAGATGAAACTTTTTTTTTTTTCCTGCTTTTTTTTTTTTTCAAATTCCGTTCTTTGTTAAAAATGGGTGGCATCCCGGCTGCAATATTTGATTAGGTTTGCCACCATCTTCAGAGAAGGAAAGAAAAGGTTTTGCCACACTGCAGTGTTTTGTATTAGCGTAAGGAGTCCATATTCAGATGGTATGGCCCCATGTAGGAGATTCATACATATACAATACACAATATGGAAAGCTTGAACGCCCTACAGTTTTGAAGTTGTATTGGTTGGTTATAGGTAAAATTTGGAGAACCATGAATTGAATTGGACTTCATTACATATAAACCTATCTGATTTCAAAGAACTATTTTTTTTTTCCATTCATGTTAGGATAGAAAATTATTCTCAAGAACTGAATTAAGCAAACACCTAATCTTGCATTAATCCTTGGTTGATTAGTGTGGTAAATTGTCAATTGACTAATCCTAGTTCAATTGTTTATACGTTGTAAGCTTAACACATCTGTTTAGAATAAAGGAGAATTTTATTCATAAAAAAGACGACGACAGTGTAAATTTGGTGTTTTATTTTTTATTTTTTGCTTTGATGCTCTCTCATTCGGAGAGACCAAATAAGACACAAGATAAGCTCTCTGATCACAGCCCCTTGGGTCTTGTTGGATTTCTCTGAATTAAAAATTACACGCTTCTTCTCCGTTACACACAGTAAATAATTTTGGTTACACATAGTTACCTAGATATAGCAACTGGGTTTACTTTGAGGTGAACCCGCCCGAGTTGGGGGAGGAGCCTAATAGATGAGACCCTACCAAAGGCCAAGTGAGCAAGAGAGAGCGTTATTAAAAAGCAACCCAAAAATGGATTCAATTATTTAACAATTTAACACAACTCAAATCAATTTGAAAGCAACACCACCACATGCCCCGTTGTCAACTAGGTTACCGTTAGAATCAAACTTAAGTTCAAGATTGTTGCCCACCGTATGATATCAAGTGGCCACATTTCATTAGCCGTTGGGTTTGAAAAAAGGGGCATCAGGCAGGAGACAAATACCCACTATTTCCGCCTCCAAGTCCACTTCACTTAAATTCTCTGTTCTTCTTCTTCTTCTCAACAAACCCAGTTTGTAGATTTAGGGTTTTAGATGCTGGCAATCTACGCTCTTGGGTTTGATACAGTGTGTGCTTGTTGAAGAGGTGATAGATCTCTGTTATTGGCTGTGATTTATCTCCGAATACTCAGATAAAATGGATTTATCAGATGAGAACAATTTCGGTTTGATTAAACCCACAACCTCACAAGGTAACTCATCAAACCTGATCCACACATGTAGCTCAGATTGAACATTTCTTTTCACCACATTCAACTTTGAATCTGCTGCAAAATTCAACTTTTTGAATTGGGTTTTTGAATTCTTTGCTTTTTCTGTTTGATAGGAGGAGGAAATGAAATGGGTATCAGAAAATTTGGAGTGGAGATCAGGCACAAGCGAAGAGCTTTAAGCGCGATTAACCAAAATTTAGCTGGAGCTCCTTCATACCCTTGTGTTGTTAACAAGAGAGTCTTGTTAGAGTACTCTCACTACTCTGATCTGAATTTTTTCACTGTAATTTTTCTTTTTCTTTTTCTGTTTTTGATAATAACTAATTTGATCAATATTTGTTCTCAGAAAAAGTGTAATCTGTGATAAGAACCCTCCCAATTTAGCCCAGCGACCAATCACAAGGTTCTAATATGATCCTTCGCTCTCTTCTTTGTATTTTGGATCTAAATCTTATCTTCAACTTGTTCTAATTTGGGTCTGTTTTACTTTTATATAGGACATTCGCAGCTCAAATAACAAGCACACATCAACCTCATTCGCAGGTACTCTCTCTCTCTCTCTCTCACACACACACACACATTCTCTCTCTCTCTCTCTCTATCTCACACACAGAGTCATGAACAATTCCTTATTCAAACTTATGTGAGGATGATGGTACAATGTTAAACAGGAAACTAAGAAACCAAATCTATCAGATAAGGATTTTAGTATTTGGGAAGATAGTCCAATAACAGATGTGGAAGAAGACAAGACAACTACAGACCAGCCTGTGGCAATGTTCTTGGAACAAACGGATGGAGTACTCAGTGAGAAGGAGCAGATGGTATGTATCCCACATCCTCTACTTCTCTACATTGATCCGAGACGGGTAGTTGGTCTGCAAATCTAATAAATGGTGCGTGAAATTACATAGGAGGAGGTCGAAATGGAGGATATATTTGAAGAGCCCATTATGGATATAGACAGTTTTGACGCCAAGAACCCACTTGCAGTTGTTGACTATGTCGAAGATCTCTATGCCTACTACAGGAAATTGGAGGTGAACGAATTGATCATATGCATATAGTTCCACATTCCATGCCTAGGGTTTTTCTTTTGTATATAAGCTTCTGTTTTTTTGAAGATTCTGGATTTGATACAAGTCTTGGTGAATTTTAGATGCCCAAAAATTTTCAGTAAGTCAATATGCTTTGCACATTTCAAACATTTTACCCCCCTTTTTTATGCTAATACCCTTAATTCTCAACTGACCACTCCAATTCTTTCTGGTTAACCTTTAATCCTTTTGGCCTTTTACACCCTTTACCTTAATTCAACACGATTTTGGATGCACATCTGTATTGTAATTTCAAAGTATTACTACCATGCTAAGAAAAATAGCGCGTGGCAGAAGCCTTTATTAAGATGTTTTACAAGTTATGATACCAAATGTAAATGGTGTTACGCAAGAATAGGAATGATCAAAATTACTGAATAGTTAGAATTTCGAATTTGTTATAATTTTTTTGGTTTTTACTTTTTAAGTGATATTATTTCATAATGTTCTGTTTGGAAATATTTAGAAATTATCCACTAGGCAACCTTTCTTTCTCTCCCCTCTTCCAACTTTTTCCCAATAAAGGGCTAATAGAGTTGCGCTTTCTTAGTAAATTGCCTTTCATTACCAACCTGTCGTCTTAGAGCACAAAGTTACCTGATGTTAGCCTTTCGCTATTCCTTCCTTTTTATAATAAAATATGTTTGAATTAAACAAGTGGGAAGCTTTGATCTATAGGCTCAGGGGAAAAAATGAGCAAAGGATGTAGTAAGAAATGTGAATTTGTTAACAAACCTTTGGTGCCAAATGCTTCTAGTTGGATTGAGAAAAGAAGTTTGTTAATTAAGGAGATGCATCAATGGACACCTTGATTTGATGACTAAACAACCCTCACTGTATGCAGAATTCTAGCCGTGTCTCACCAAACTATATGGCTCAACAATTTGACGTCAATGAGAAGATGAGGGCGATACTAATTGACTGGCTTGTTGAGGTATATTAAACGTTCTCTATTAAAATAGCACCTTTTATGATAAGTTGTTACATATGGTGTTTGATTTAACATGGTTAGCATAAAATGTTGTATAAATTCCATGCAACCACTAATCCAGTTAAATCAACAGGTACACTACAAGTTTGAGCTCAGGGACGAGACATTATTTCTGACTGTTAATCTTATAGATAGATTTTTAGCTCAGCAATCAGTGGTGAGAAAGAAGCTGCAGTTGGTAGGTTTGGTTGCCATGCTCTTAGCATGCAAATATGAAGAAGTTTCTGTCCCTGTTGTGGATGATTTGGTTTTCATTTCAGACAAGGCTTACTCAAGAACGGAAGTCCTTGAAATGGTAATTATTAATCTTGTAATTGCAGTGATGGTTTTAAGTGCATTTCCCCTTCATGTTAAAGTAATTTAGACCATTTTTATCACACATTCCTGCAGGAGAAATTGATGCTAAATACATTACAGTTTAACATATCGGTTCCAACCCCCTATGTCTTCTTGAAAAGATTTCTCAAGGCCGCCCAATCTGATAGGAAGGTTAGTCGTATTAAAATGCATCAAATTAAGTGGCATAAGTTTATTCCTCTGTGTAGCAAAATGAATTATGTGACGTTCTCTACTATCTCAAAACAGCTCGAACTCTTGTCTTTCTTCTTGATTGAGCTGTGCCTTGTGGAATACGAGATGCTCAAATTTCCATCCTCGTTTTTGGCTGCTGCTGCAATTTATACTGCTCAATGTACACTCTATGGGTTTAAGCAATGGAGCAAGACCTGTGTGTGGTATTCTAACTACTCGGAAGATCAGCTCCTGTGAGTCATTGTCACCCTTTTATTAATTTTCTTTAGCCTTTAGTCAAATTCTAATGAGTGGTCTCTTTTTTGCTTGTTCACAGAGAATGCTCGAGAGTGATAGTAAGTTACCACCAAAAGGCAGCGACAGGGAAGCTTACCGGGGTACACAGAAAGTACTGTACATCTAAGTTTGGTTACACGGCGAAATGTGAGCCTGCTCATTTTCTAGTAGAGAACCAACAATAGGCAGGGCGCATGTATAGTTACTAACTTTACGCGGCTTCTGTAATTTGGTTGATACTTAATTGAAGATTTCACTGCAACGAGTAGGGGTGGAGGGAAGACATAATAAATCAGCAACTACCTATGGTTGCTCCTGAAAATTCATTATTTGGACTTCAAGTCTGCAGCCATGGTTGTCAAATGCTCAGACAGCCATGGATATTCACATTGTTCAAGTTTAACCTATTTTTAACTGTACTTTTGTTTAGTTTGATAATAAAAGAATATACAGTGCTTTGAAATTTTCTTCTTTGGGTCAGATTTTAGATGGTGAAAAGATTATATTAATTGAAATACACTTGTGAGAACCATGTTGGAGCCTGGATTAAATTGTCGAAAATATTATATTTTGGAGCCAATTCCTTAATTTATGTAGGCAGATTTTGTATACAGTATACCAATACTGGTGATCTGGTTGGTGCAGGATGGTGGATGAAATATAAAGAGAGAAACTGAAAAAATTCTCATTTTTAAGTTGTAATTGGGAGAGTAATAGGTAATATTTCACAAGGTCCAAAGTCTTTATCAAACTTTTCTGACCTTTTAAGGACAAAAGGCTAGGACTAAAATCATTCCGTTCTTTGACATTTTAGTCACAGTAAATCAACCATCAAATACCATGGCACTTGTGAACTCCCTGAAAGCCGTGTGTGTCTTGTTGGTTATAAATCGACCAGGGCAAAATGAAACTTTTTCTCATTTTGTCATTGTGTTCGTCTTTTCAATTTTGCCCCCCTCTGTGTGTGTGTGTGTTAGGGAGGGGGAGGGGGGATTGTATTTGAAATCCCGGCAGGGGATGGGGTGGGGCCGAAGGAGGATAACCCTGCAGGTTTATAATGCATTTTTACAAAACTACCTTTACATATTATAAAATATTACTAAATTACATAACTATATATATATATAAATATATATATATATATTCACTTTTGAAACCCTAATCTATTCCCTCACAATATAGTCGTTGTTGGAAAAATGTTATTTGTTTTGGTTGATCATGTTGAAAATTTTCAGACTATTTCAAAAAATGTTATATGTGGTTTTGCTATAAGTTTAATCGGGTTGAAATGATATGTTTTAAATTGTTATAATTGTGCTGAAACTTTTTTGAATTATTAGGTTGAAAAATATTATATAATTGTGTTGATTTTGTTAAAGGTGAATTGGAATTTTAAAAAAGTTTATGCAGAGCAGGGTGGGGCGGGGACGGAGGCTAATGTAGTGGGGTGGGTGGGGCGGGGGAGGGGGTTGAAATTTAAACGGGTATGGGGGCGGGAATGGGGTAAAAAATTTAACTGGGGATGGGGAATGATATCCCGGCCCCACAACGTCTCATTGCCATCCTTATGTGCGTGCCTTGGCATAATATCACGTGGATGTAACGGATTTGAAACAAAAAATAGCCTATGAAGATGTTTCTAAATATATCTTATTCTTTTACAAATGCAATATCGAGAATATCCTATACCAGAATAATTTTTCAAATCATGTAGATTGGACTAACTTTTTAATTTATTTTTGGCTTCCATTTTTTAGCCAAACAAAAGGCTTAAATGACCAGATTAACTTGCCAAAACTCAAAGATGAGGGAGTTGAGGCCGTGGGGATTGGAATTTAGACACTTTTATGCGAAATAGAAAGTTGGGGGTGAGGGGGGCTGTAGGAGTAGATCATTGATATTTCTGGAAACTCCGTGGAAGCTACTGATACTATAGTATTTTAGAAAGACTTGAAGAGGTCACCGATGGTACAAAAGTTTGCTAGTTAACCCATCATATTTGACTAACGTACGCCACCCTTGAAAAATTGATTAGCAATGATTTTGACACCCCCAATTTTACCAACTCCAATGCAACCTAACCACCAAAACGATGTCGTGCCATCTCCAAAAGATTTATCCGATCCCCTACCTGGCACCATCATTTTTCTCATTTTGGAGATGTACTTGATTCACCAACCACCCTGCACTATATATAAACACACACTATGTATAGCTTGTTCATAGATCTCCTCCATTCTCCACTAAACCCTCCATTAAATCTAGAGAGAGAGAAGAGAGAGAAGGTCAAGTTTTTACCAAAAACACCATGGCAATGTCAGCAACTTCACCTCATTCTCTCCTCCTGAAAAACCCTAACCGTCACCTTCTCAAAAGCCCCAACACCGTCACCACCACCCACTTCAATGGCTTCCCTCTCAACCAATCTTCGCGCCTCAACAAACCCATATCGATCACCTGTTCGACAACCCAAGTCCAAGATCGCCCAACCTCCACCTCCCAATCCCAAGATCGGGTCTTCAATTTCGCCGCCGGTCCGGCTACTCTGCCTGAAAACGTGCTCAAGACGGCCGAATCTGAGCTCTACAACTGGCGTGGAGCCGGAATGAGCGTGATGGAAATGAGCCACAGAGGGAAAGAGTTCCTCTCAATCATCCAGAAAGCAGAGTCAGATCTGCGTACCCTTCTCAGCATACCCTCCGATTACGCTGTTCTGTTCTTGCAAGGCGGCGCGACTACCCAGTTCTCTGCGATCCCTCTCAATCTGTTGAAACCCGATGACCCAGTTGATTACATTGTCACTGGGTCATGGGGTGACAAGGCTTTCAAAGAAGCCACCAAGTATTGCAAGCCCTCTGTGATTTGGTCAGGCAAATCTGAGAAATATACGAAGATTCCATCTTTTGATCAGTTGGAGCAGAACCCGCATGCCAAGTATTTGCATATATGCGCGAACGAGACTATTCACGGGGTTGAATTCAAGAATTACCCAACTCCAAATAACAAAGATGGGATTTTGATTGCAGATATGTCTTCGAATTTTTGTTCCAAGCCTGTGGATGTGACCAAATTCGGCTTGATCTATGCCGGAGCGCAGAAGAATGTTGGTCCCTCTGGTGTCACCATTGTGATCATCAGGAAAGATTTGATTGGGCATGCTCAGGAGATCACTCCTATCATGCTGGATTACAAGATCCACGCCGACAACAATTCGCTGTATAACACTCCGCCATGTTATGGGATTTACATGTGTGGATTGGTGTTTGAAGATCTATTGGCTCAGGGTGGTTTGGTGGAGGTTGAGAAGAATAATATGAGGAAGGCACAGATTCTTTATGACACCATTGATCAGAGCAATGGGTTTTACAGGTGCCCGGTTGAGAAATCAGTGAGGTCATTGATGAATGTTCCATTTACATTGGAGAAATCGGAATTGGAGGCTGAGTTTATCAAGGAGGCGGCGAAGGAGAAGATGGTGCAGCTCAAGGGGCATAGATCGGTTGGTGGCATGCGAGCTTCGATATATAATGCCATGCCTCTAGCTGGGGTTGAGAAGTTGGTTGCTTTCATGAAGGAATTCCAGGCAAAACATGCTTGATGTTGTGGTAAGCATTCTGTTATGTTTTTGTTTTGTTCTGTTTGGTGTTTTCATGTTTGTTGTTCAACTTGGGTTAACATTTTGGAATACCTTCGGGGGTATTTTGAGAATAGCTATGGTAGTAGGTTCAGTGAGAAGAAGTTTACTTGGATTTGACAATAATCATATGTTATTGTCAAGCAATTTCATGGGTCCTATTCATTGTTATATAGTAAACAAACTTTGAGAGAATTCATGGAAGTTATTGTCCTATGAAATAATGGAGCTGTGCCACTGTTCAAAAGGCAAGCCGGAAGTAGGAACTTAGTAATTTATGTCCTCTGCAATCTAGCAATTGTTATATTTGCTATTATTGATTATATGTATTTCTTGTTCTCAAGAAATTAGCTTTATCTATTTATGATTATATTTATTTCTTTATTTACATATGACAGATGGTCTCATTCGGAGAGGTAAATGCACTAGGGTTAAAAGTATCTATATGCAGTCCATCCCTAATAATTGAAAAAATGTTTTTCTTGTGTTGAATTGAGACATGAGCGAGTCTCTGCATAAGTGGCTTTGAAATATTCAGTAAGAAGAAAGATCGATGAGAGGCGTATTGGCTCATTTGGGGAAGCTTTCTCGTAGCTAAAATTTCTCCATATTGTTGATGCCGACACTATAGAAACATTTTTTGATTTATAGAAAAAGTAAAATGATGGGTAAGATTAATAATTTTCTAGTGGAAGAAGGGCATATTTGTTATTTAGGAAGGCGGTGCATATTTGCTAGTTGCTACTTAGGGGGAGCATTATTATTTGTTAATTGGATAGGCATTTTGTCAAATTATATAAAATTATACATATAATAAGGAAATTTAGAATTTCAGGGGGGCTGCTGCTCCTTGTGGGACGAAGCTGCCTCCCTTGACAATAATTAAATAAACAATTTGCTACTGCAACCTACTCACCAATCCATCAACCTTCTCTTACACCATGAAAATGACAAAAGGAGGCTAAGATCTCTTAATCATCTTCCTCAATATTGAAATCATCTACAAGTCTCATCCTTGTATTTGAATTTATTTGCCCTCACGACTCTTGGACGCAGTGAAAGAGCTGGGAAATTACCTGTGCCTGTATAAAGACATTTTAAAGCCTAGAATACCATTCCTTACCTAGTTATAACATCTTCATGACATTGTGCTGGAACCATTAAGCTCTATCTATTTATATTTCCATATTTCTTCCATGAGGGAGAGAGTGATTTGTAGATTACATAGTGATAGGTGCTTATCATCGTATTCTTGTACTGTTTGATTCTTTTTGTAATCACGATACTAGATAATTGAAGTTGCGCCTCCCTTCAAGCTTCATGCCTCCCTTCAAGCTTCATGCGTTTTTTAGTCCCGGTAGTCTTGTTCGATCTTCTACTGGAGTTCTACCTTTCTAGGCCCCCACAAGCTTAGCAACTATTTCTCCCTTCCCAGCCAGTAGGGAGGTTGGGAGTACCCTTGCACCTTGAATATGTTTAAATTTAGGGTTATAATTGAAATTATGTGTTGAGAAAAAAGAAACCAATCATCAATCATATTCTAGTATAGCTAAATGGTGCAATGCATTTACTTCATCCTCATCAACGATCACCTTAATATAGTTGTATTTGGCAGTAGTAAATTGCTTGGTGGCCGGTTTTATTATAACTTGAAAATATCCAATGCGTGAAGATGAGAACTCGGTGACAAACTTGACTCCCAAAAAAGAACATAACGAAAATGATAAGCAGAACCAGAATTAAGAAGTAAATTTGATTACTATGCACGAGTACAGGGAAAAAAAATTGGAGGAGTTGACATTTAAGAACTCATTCAGTTGATTCTTCCTTAGTTTTCCATAATCCAGATGTGTTTGCAAGTCCAATGTAGGAGCCCCGATGTATCTATGATACATATCATCTCCGACGTATCAAACTATTGTCGAATAGTCTCAAGTATGCCAAAAAATGGCACAAAACAGATTTCTAGCAACTTTGAGCTTCAAACCATTGGACCACCTCCTGCAGATTAGTATATTGAAGGACACCCTCCTATTTGCTGCAAGACATGAAGCACTTCCAAACTTCCTTAGCCAAGGAAAAAAAACATTTAATTTGTTCTTAGTGTTGAAATGAAGCAACCATCATAGCCTAACAATTCATCTGAATAAGTTCAGGAAAAGGGGAGCACACTACAGTGTCATTAACAGAACCATACATTTGCTCGTTGAACACTTAAAATATAAGACAACAAGTAGAAAAACAAAAAAATACATTAATAAATAAATAAATCAATCTCAAAATAAATAAATAAATAAACCAACAAATACATAAATACATAAATAAATCAATCTCCAAGCACAGAGAATTGAAACAACAAATTGAGAGAACCCAACCTTTTTGGTTAACCGACGTATATTCGACTTCTATTTTTTCGATTCCAACTGAAAATCAGTTAGAAAAATTTTGTATATAGGATTGAAACTAAATTTGTAATATACCCAAGATGAGAGAGATGAGGAAATAGAGATAGACAGCTTGGGGAGAAGAAGAGTGGACCTTTTATTGCTAAACCGTCGCCGGAGAAGAAGACTGGAGCTAGCTGGAAGTTGCAGACGGCGGCCGGTGTTTCTCGTTGCTCTAAATCGGCCGGAAAAACAGAGAAGAGTGGAGAGAGAGGCGATGAACACATGGCTCTTCAGATCTGAAGTTCCAGTCGTTGATTTGAAACCCAATCTTCATAGACATTCAAAATTTTAGAGACAGAAGAAAGATTGTATGTTGGACATGAAACCAACGAAGATCGAGAGGAGGTCACCACGAATTGCCTCAGTTGTAGTGGAGTCGCCGCAACCTGCGAGACGGCTTCTAGCCCTAGAACATGTTACAATTTGTGTATATAGTGGTTCTCAAATCAGAACAAGTGAGTGCATTTGTTGCACCAGCTACAGCTAATGGTGGGCCTGAAATAAAGTCGGAACAAGCAAGAACACAAATTTGGTGTTCCAAGATTTGGCCCTTTTTTACAGAATGTTCTGCCACTGTTCGAACCAACACAGCCCAGCCCAAATGTATTTTGTTCTGAAAATGGCTTATTGTTCACATACTGGAGCATTACGGCACACTACAGCACACTTACCAAACAGGGCCTGAGCAAATAATCAAACGTTTGGTGGGCAAAGTTTTTGTGTTAATCTTCAGGCGTGAGATGGCCAAGTTATCCAAAATCTGGGACTCAAAAATTCTATCTGTTACAAAAATAATTAAAAAAAAAAGAAAGTGTAAATGAGATTTATTATACTAAATAAACAGAATAAGTACTGCGCAATAATTTAACAATCCATTTGCTTAACTAAAACAAAAGGGATGTCATCAAACTCGACGCTAACCAAACCTTCAATCCTCTGCTTCTTCTTCTTATTTTTCTTCTTCGCCCTCCGCTCCATCATCACCATTGTTATCAGCACCATTGCCAACGCCACCATCAACGCATTGTCATCATCGTCGTCTTCGATCTGTTGCAGTACGCGGGCCTCTTCTTCCTCTGCTTGCTCATGATCCAACAATGATCTTTTCGCTATTCAGATACTCGGCAAAACACAAATATAGATTTTTTTTTTTTTCCCCAAAAAAAGGGTTAGGGTTTAACGAATCCCAAAAGGACTTAGGAAAAAGAAAAAAAAAATGTTTTGGATTTGAAATAAAATTTCATTTGTGTACTTGTAACTTGCAATAATTTAGAAATTTAATAATAAGAGAATTATTATTTACCTTTTAATTTCAAATCTCACCGAGATTTCAAACACCGAGTTAGTTTATTACAAAGATATATGCATGTATATTAGTTATTACATACATGTGAATTGCAAATGTTACACTGCAAATATGCCATGCATAAATCAATTTTGTCGAAATCATAACTTCGTCGCCCTTTTTCTTTTCTTAAAAACCAAATTTCGCAATTGAAGAGTTGGTCTGAATGATTGAATCACATGTGCGGATCACATGCAGTGAGGTCACACTACATGCATCCTATGAATGCATGAGTTGAAAAGTTAGGCGGAGCATGGTTGGAGAGAAATTGAAGGAAAAGAAAATAAAGGAAATGGTGAGTTATATTATATCGTGTTTGGTACAAATTATTAAAGGGAATTGAAAATTTTGGAGGGATACAATCATACAAATTAGAGTTATAACGTCTAATAAAAACTTTAATACTATACCTTTTTTAAAGTCTAATAAAAACTTTAATACTATACTTTCTTTAAAAAAAAATTAAATTCTATAAAAAAGAAAAAAGAAAAAAAAGAGAGGATAGTAAATTCACTAGATAATGTCATTTCTTTTCTTTTTTAAACATGATTGTTATGGATTTTTATTTTTTCATAACTAATATTATGATTATTATTTTCCATTAAACCAAACAAACAAGATTGATTTTAACTTGCAAATCCGTAACTAGTTTTTGGTTTGTTTTTTAGCAAACAAACACATAGAAAGGGGTTTTGCATAGTTTTGGAAGCTGAAGAGAATTTTTGGGCTAAATGAGACAGTTTCCAGTTTATTTTTTTAAAATAAAATAATGGTGTAATTAGTAGTATACAGTAATTAAAGATAAGTATTACATAAGAAATCGCAAAAAGTTAATTAAGTGGGTAGGAAAATGAAAAATTTATCAATTATCTACGCAACCTTCAAGATTCTCAAAAAGATAAAAAAGTTATGGGCTCCTCCCTAATCATTGTTGATAATGATTACCTTGTACTTTTTCTTATCTCAAAATAAGTGTCATAATAATTTTTAATACATGTTCTGTTAAAAAATTATTAATCTCCGTAAGTAATACTTAAATTAAGATAGAGATAGAGATGATACATTGTACTTAGAAAAAAGTTTTATTTAGTTGTTGTTTGCTTTTATTTATTTTTTTTTTTGGGATTTTTTAATAATTAATAATAATTGAAAAGTAATTTAGTGTCAGCTTGCTTTGTCGAGAACAAAAAACATAAAACTGTACAATTCAATTTTTTTAAAACTTATAAAAGACTTATTTTTAAAGAATTGTTTTTTATATTTCTGTGAATTTTTTTTTTTTTTTAGAACTATTTTCAGAATTACAAATTAAACAACCTCAAATATTGAAAATCAAAACTCTGAAAGATTCAACTCTCATCAATTGAATTTGTATAAAGCTACTGTTCTATGTCGTTATGCTTGCACGAAACTATACAACTTGATTGAGAAAGTTTTACATAATTCAAAATATAGTAGTATGACAATTAAAACTCAGGAAGCTATGTTTGTTCTCATGGAATTAAAATTTATAAAGTTAAATAAAAATAACTAACAAAATTAAAACAAAATTTTCTTCTATTTCACAAGTTTAAATGCCATTAATTTCACGCAGTCCATCACCGATTCACCGCCTCAATGTAAATGTAAAAATTTTATATAATTTTTCAGTATGTAAAAATTTCTGACTTTGACAGGGCATGTACCTCAAAACCTTTCATTTGCAGTTGCATTATATCCATGAAAATATCACTGTATAGACACATTACACATACATACACATATATATTCTTTAAATATTCAGTTCAATCCGGAGATCTCCCCACTTTACACTCAGCTCTATCTCTCCGCGATCATGAATCATTTCTTCAAGGTATCATTGGGTCGGTTCGTTTACGGTCTGAATCGAATTCACCCGAACTGTACTCGCCAACTCTCTCAATCTACTAGGAATTTTGAACCGGGTTCATGGGAATCGACGGAGGGTCTGGTCCAATGCTCGGCCAATTACGTTCCTCTGTCCCCTATAAGCTTCTTAGAGAGAGCCTCAAAAGTTTACAGGGACAGAACATCAGTTGTGTATGGTTCTGTCAAGTATACATGGAATCAAACTCATCAACGCTGTCTCAGACTCGCTTCTGCTCTCACCCACTTGGGAATTTCACCAGGCGATATTGTAAGTTTGATTTGTATTCCATTTCTTTTCTTATAAATTGTGTGGTTTTTTTATTTGTAATATTCTTTTTTGGGTAAGTAATTGAAATGTTAATAACCAAAAATCTTATTGGGTTTTTGGTTTTCCTTTTTTGGGATGCCACCAATTTCACATTATTTTCAGTCAGATTCTTCAGTGCTTTGTTAAAGGGTGTCTTGCTTGAAATGGTGTGTGTTTGGTTTTGTTTTACTTTGCTGTGATTGTTCTTCTAGGATGTTAGTGTTAATTATGTTTAGTTTCATTCTTTTTTTTTTCTCTCTCTCTCTCTCTCTCTCTATATATATATATATATATTGGCTAAGTGTGTGAAATGCTATAATAAAAAATCTAATTGGGTTTTTTGTTTGCGTTTTTGGGATGCCACCAAATTTAGATTATTCTCAGTCAGACTCTTTAATGCTTTGTTTAAGGGTGTCTTGTTTGATATGGTATGTTTGGTTTAGTTTTACTTTACTGTGATTGTTCTTCTAGTATGTTGGTGTTAATTAAATCTAAAGTGGGTGACAGTTTTCAGTCAATTCCTTGATATTGGATTTTGAATTCTGAAAATTCATTAAACCGGCAAACCTGTCTGTTTGACACCACTACCCTGTTTAATCAAATACAGTACTTCTTGTATTCGGATTTATATCCGGATGTCCAGAACCAAATGTGGCAATTCCAAGACTTTTTTGTTTTGGGACTATAGAGGGTGTCCACACCTCTCCTTTGGAGGTGAACTATTTATTCCCTTCAAATACTCGTGATCATCCCCAAATGGCAGAGGTTTTGATGCCCCGAGAATTGAACACAAGTCGGAGCCTTATGCCACGCCTATTCTTTCCACAGGGAGGAAATTGTGGAGGAGTGTTATGCATTACTCAAACTGCTACTGCTACTTGACAGTTGTGATGCAGTACATCGATCAGTTGATGGACTCAGGCTCATCTTCATTTTCTTTTCTTTAGCTGTATCTTCAAGTGTGTACTTTTCTATGAAGTGCATCTCATGATCAGACGAAAGAATTTCATTTTATGTCAAGGGAAACAATGAGCAAAGCTGTCTTAATAAAATGAAACAAATAGTTAGATATATGCTATAAGAACTTTTGATATTTTTAGGAGGGCATTTGGATGCTTAATTGAAAATATACCACCTCAATTAGTTTCTAATGCGATTTGAAGGCATGAATTCACCTCATTGGATGGACTTTATGAACGTGGAATAAAACAGTTGAAGATTAGATTTAATTTGATCTCTTTTAGAACATGCGAGTCCAAAAATTTTCAAGTACGGTACGTATGCTGAGAGGTTTTGCAGCAGATAAAGGTGTAATTTACTTTGCATTGACAGGATGCGAGTTTATGGTATTTAATTCTTGTTCTTTCTGTTTTCATTTTTCCTTTCTTTTGGACCACCTTAGCAGTTTTAAGTAAATGCTCTTTACTGTGAAATACCATATATTTTAAACTCTAAATTGTTGGAGCAGGTTGCAACATTGGCACCTAATATTCCAGCGGTGCATGAGTTGCATTTTGCTGTCCCGATGGCTGGAGCAATTCTTTGTACACTTAACACACGCCATGATTCAGCCATGGTCTCAGTCCTACTGAGACATTCAGAAGCCAAGGTCATGTTCGTAGACTACCAGTTACTCGAAATTGCTCATGGAGCACTTGATCTTCTTTCAAGTACAGATACAAAACCACCAATCCTAGTCTTAATCCCTGAATCCGACGGCTCATCTCCCACCAACCTTGCTTCTAATACCTATGAGTATGAGACTTTCCTGGAAACCGGACACAATGAATTTGAGATATTACGGCCGAAAAATGAATGGGACCCTATCAGCGTAAATTATACTTCTGGCACAACATCACGTCCCAAAGGTGTTGTTTATAGTCACAGAGGAGCCTATCTTAATTCCATTGCAACTTTTTTCCTTCATGGGATGGGTGCAATGCCTGTTTACCTTTGGACAGTGCCCATGTTTCACTGCAACGGGTGGTGCCTCATTTGGGGGTTGGCAGCCCTGGGCGGCACGAACATATGCCTTAGACGCGTTTCTCCTAAAGGCATATTTGACTGTATTGCTCTCCACAAGGTGACTCACATGGGTGGGGCACCAACTGTCTTGAACATGATTGTGAATTCACCATCAAGTGATCGCAAGCCACTTCCACACAGGGTTCAAGTAATGACTGGTGGTGCACCACCACCTCCACAGATCCTTTTCAAGATGGAGGAGATGGGGTTTGGAGTATCTCACTTGTATGGACTTACCGAAACTTTTGGTCCAGGGACATATTGCATGTGGAAGCCAGAGTGGGATTCCTTACCTCCGGATGAACGATCGAAGTTGCAAGCACGGCAAGGAGTGCACCATCTTGGTTTGGAGGAAGTTGACATAAAAGATTATGTCACCATGAAGAGTGTACCACCTGACGGTAAAACAATGGGTGAGATTATGTTTAGAGGAAATACCGTAATGAGTGGATACCTCAAAGATTTGAAAGCAACTGAAAAAGCTTTCAGTGGCGGATGGTTTCGAAGTGGTGATCTTGCTGTGAAACATCCTGATGGCTATATAGAAGTAAAAGACCGGTTGAAGGATATCATAATTTCCGGGGGTGAGAATATTAGCAGTGTAGAGGTAGAGACAGCGTTGTTTAGTCATCCAGCAGTTCTGGAGGCTGCAGTAGTTGCACGACCAGATGATCACTGGGGGCAGACGCCTTGTGCATTTGTGAAGTTAAAGGAGGGATTTAATGTCGATGCTCAAGAAATGATAAAGTTCTGCCAGGATCATTTACCGCATTATATGGCACCTAAGACTGTCATTTTTGAAGATATACCAAAAACTTCAACTGGGAAGGTACAGAAGTTTATTCTAAGGGAGAAAGCAAAGACCATGGGAAGCCTTTCCTGAGTGGAAAGAGTTCAGCAATTTTCCTTTAAAAGGTAAAATTTAAAGCTAAATGCTTGTATGATTCCTCATTATCTCTCTCTCGCTCTCTCTCTTTACTTATAGCTCCGTTGCGCAACAAAAATAAATACATGAATAAACATATAAGAATTAGAAATAGAAGAAAATTCCTGTAAGCCACTCTGATTTCCATCAAAATATATAGGCTGAGGACTTCTTGTCCTTTTGCTGAAGTTGCATCCACAATCTTTGCTAGTTGTTCTTTGATTGTAAGATATGACTCATCTGTGTTCTTAGGACATCGTGTGGATTGGTCAGTGTCTAATGATGGTAGGGGATAGAAGTTATTAACATATTGAGTTAAACCTTGGAAGCATATGTCTATGTAGGCAACTGCATTACCATGAATTTCTCTGTTCATTTGGATTCTCAATGGTCATCCGAAATAACGGTCTACTCTACTCGTTAACCAGGATGCACTAGCTGAAGAAAAATAAACCAAAACCAAATGCACCTATAGAAAACCGAAACCCTTACAAAATAAAAAACTAAAGATTCAAAAAATTAATTGGACAACCCAAAGCAAAAGCAGAAATCAGGACCAAAGAAGTGTAAGAAAATAAAGAAGAAAGAGAGAACATAACCTAACTGAAATCGAAGCCAAAGAAGAAAATATATAATAAAGAGAGAACATAGGATCTGCTTAGTTGAGAAAATTCAAATTTAATTATCTTCCCTGCTAAAATAACACAATACATCTGAATATATAAGAAAACCATATATCTCATACACATGATAGTAAACTGCATGGTCATCTAATGTTAAGTTTCAACTTCCAGTAAAAACTTTACACCCAGTTTGTTGAGGGCTTCTTGTTCATATATTGGCAAGCGCTGGATTCTGAGTCAGATTGAGGCGGATAATGTAAGGATATACCACGGAACCACAGTACAAATGATCTCCAATCTTAATCCCACTTGAAACCAGTGACAATTGAAGATCATAGTAATGAGCAGTTGGTTTTCCTTCCAAATCAACGGCCAAAACACCACCGTTTCTCTCCATAGGTGGTCGCCCAGTGTACCTCTCCATGATCGCCAGACCCTTTCGAATCCAAGGGTATCTCTGTGCCATATCCCATGAAAATGTGGCTTCCTGCCAAAATTACACAAAAAGGATGATGGCATAAGCTATTCTTTTCAACAATCAAAAGCGTTTCAGGACAATGCCCATCAAGCATTATATTAGTATGAGTTTAGTTACCGTAGATAATGCAATCCAGTAGTGACCTTCTCCATCATATCGAATGTTGTCAGGCATGCCTGGCAAATTATAAATAAATACATCTACTGATCCTTTTCTTTTTCCTTTTATGTAGTATTTCTTGCACCTTCTCCTGCAATTTTAATTTTTCACCCATTAAAATCACTCGCACTATTCCAATTCCTACATAAAATGACTCTTATCCTGAATTTAGTCTAAACAAATCAGAAACAAGTTTGAAGTTCAAACACAAACACTGGCATGTTGTGATCGGGCAATAACTTACATTGGGGTTTCACAGAAGACTAGGAAATTCTGATCTGGTGAGACTGTCACCCCGTTAGCAAAGTACAGGTCCCGGACTAGAACTTCGGTCTTTTTAGTGGATGGATCATAGCTCATTAATCTGCCGTGTGGTTTTCCCTCTAAAAAGTCCCAGATGAAGCTCGATAGGTTGTATTTGTATGATGCATCTGTAAAATAGATCATGCCATCATCTGCTATATCAACACCGTCTGTTAGTTTGAATTCTACACCCTCGGCCTCTTTTGTCAACAGCTTCACCTTACCATCTTCAGTTACTTTCAGTAGCCCCTGCACCATCATATATATTCTGATAAGAACATATTTAGTATAAATTTTGTTTTTTGGGAATAGTTTATGTTCTCAGAGAACAAAAAAGATAAAACAGCTTGAAACTACATTTGTTTATTTTAAAATAGTGAAATCTGAGCTTGAAACTCCATATGTTTATTTCATACAACACTCTTTTTCTCTGTAGAAAACTGTTTTGTGTTTCCTTGCGTTTGAAATTGTTTCAGAAAACACAACCATTCAGCCTAGGCAAAGTTCGAAATTGTTGTGTCACAACAATTCTTTATTCTCATGGATTTTGTTACAAGTCATGGATTTTGTTTTGTAACGGGAAATGTTTTGAGTAGTCGCAATTGTCATGCTGTCCAATCTTGTCTCTTTGATGAGGTGGGATGACTCCATTAAAAGCAGTTTTTATGTAATATAGCACATCCAAAATAAATGATTCGCTCTAATGATTTTCAAATGATGCAACCTGTAAGTTGCCTATTAGCCTGGGTATCTTATTTTCTACTTTAGTGTAATTTTCGAGCTTTACAACTTTTCTATTATGTTGCTTATTTATTCAAAGCTGTATATTTCAACCTCTCATGACTTTGATCTCATCTGTTTGACATATCCACAATAATTTTTTATTTGTCCTTTTTCACAGACCATGTTTTGTACACCAGAATAATATCAACTATAAGTCTACAACTCTTACAGGAGTGCGGTGTTGCCCGAATGGTTAAAGGCTCCCCATCTTTGAAAGTCCGTGATCAAACTTTATACCCTCCCCCTCGCCCCTAAGCCCACACTAACCCCTAAAAATAAAAGTCTAGAACACTTATTAATAATTATTTACTGTAATATGTTACTTATTTATTACACATGATACTCCGGTATCATATTGGGGTCCTACTAATATTTGGACGATTTAAAACTTGAAGTGTGTTTGGACCACTTTATTGCAATTTAATAGCAAGACTGAACTATCAAAATTGAAATTAATTGATTAAAAATCTAATGAAGTTGGACTGTACCGTAATTTGTTAGTATTCTTTCAATCGGCACAAACTACAAAATTTATGATAGTGACAAAATGGCATTCTCCCAGTCCACTTGTGTCACAAGATAAGAAAATAGAAGAAATCATACTTTAATATAATATTTTAATTGAATTATTCGTTATATTCCATATTTAATTGGTCACTGTACAAGTTTGACTTTTGAATATAAATATGCTCGTGAGCGGACAGGTCCTGAAATCGTTTAAAAATTGTACAAGTGTGCCTCTTTTTCTTTATATTACTCATTTATTTATTTAGTATTCTTTTAGGCTTTGTTTCCTGAGAGTAAAATAATAGAAATGATAACATTATTTTTCTTTAATTATTCATTTATTTAGTATTTTTTGCCATCCGGAGAAACGCCTTACACAAATTCTTTTAGGCTTTGTTTTATGAGAATAAAATAAGAGAAATAATAACATTTAGTTATAAAAGAAGAGAAGAGAGAAGAAAAAAAATATATATATAATAATAATTTATATTTATTTTTGAATTAATTATAAAATAAATAAATAAAATGATAATATTTTTGTTTAAAAAAATAATGAGAAAAAAGTTAAAAAAAAATAATAATAACATTTAAACTACTATCATAAGATATGGTTTAAATGTTATAAAATAGTAGTTTTAGAATTATAAAAATATTACTTAGTCCATTATTATTTCCTCCAAATTTTTTCATTTCTTTTTTTTTTTTTTTTACTAAAAATTATCCAAACACAATTTCCACAATCATTTATTTTCTTTCTTGATCAAGATTGAGTGAGAGAGAGAGAGAGAGAGAGAGATAAGAATGGTGCCACACGTAATAATTGAAGGTGTGTTGAGTCGTACACTATTCTACTTGCATGACATACACCGTAAACCAATTACAATTAGTGGAAGTAAAGGCAATCTAATCAACAACAAACCTGATTAATTACTACAAGCAACCTAATTAATCAACAACAAAACCTGATTAATTACACTAATCAACCACACAATCAATCAGAAAATTAATTAATTGATCTGACAATATATTACCAACGTACCTTGTCGGCATCAGCAACTATAACTTCATTTTTGTTATGGCCAAGAACGAGACCGAGGGGTCGTCCACCGGTGTTTATCCAGTTCTCCACCACCGTCGCCGCCGCCGACTCGTTCACCGTGACTCGCTTGATCCACCCATCAGAACAACCCGTGTATATGAGTTTGGAGTGGGGATCGTAAGCCAGGTCTTCGGGTGCCAACAACTGCCCGAACCCAATGGTGTCGGACCCAATAAGCATGCGAGCATTACGCCTGGGGACGGACACGATGTGGCGAGTGAACTCGTGGGTGGGAATTGGAGCCGGGTCGAACGAGTCGAGTTGGAATAAAAGTAATGCCGCTACAACAGGAACTGATATAGAAAATATGAGACCGAAGGGCCATAAGGTGGTGCTCCGAGTCATGGAAATAGTTTCAGATGGGTTGGTTGAGGGAGGTGAGTCGGGCTTTGACTCGGACATCGGCATTGGTGCGAAAGGTGGATTGAGATGCAGGACAGAATAGGTTATTCAGTAGCAGTGGGAGTGGGTGGGTTATCCTTGGCTTCTTTAAATACTCGGTCTAACACGTGGACTATATAACAAAGAGTGGTGGACCCGTGAGAATAATTAGGATCTGCGTTGAAATCTGGCTTTCCCAACACAGCATCTTCATCCTTGGATATGATGATTTTTTTTTTTTTTTTTTTTTTTTTCATTTGAAAAGCACAAAGGTCAAGTCAAGGTGGTAGTACATAGACATAAGTCAAGCTAAATAAAGGCGTACAAATCATGAACTAATATAATAAAATGAACTAAATTTGGTGAGAAAGAGCCACCGATTTAGAACGAAAATCACTAAGGGAGAAGAGCAGCAATTAGAATGACCAAATGTCAGGCCATCATCAAGACAACAACTCCAAAACTGCATCCATAAGGCGCCTTCACACACTCAACCCCGCACAAGATTAAATCAAGTCAGGGAAAACAAAAATCGACCTAGATCAGAAATCTAGCCGAAGGGAAAACATCAGATTCATCATATCGAGTCGGAATTGTGACACACCGATGTTATTAACCTGTGGGAGGCAAGGAAGGTCACCTCCCTACTCCCATGGAATGGAGCAGGGAGCAAAGCGGAAGGGGGCCGAGCGTTTGCGAGAAAGAGAGGGAAGAGAAAGAGCAGAGGAAAAGTTAGAGGTGGCCCTTTTATCATTGGATATGATTTAGGGGTGGCAAAAATGGGTGAATCAATAAATAAGCTTATTAACCAACTAGACAATCTGACATTTATTTTTATTTTTATTTTATTAACTCTGGTGTCCGGGATGGCAGGAACCCTTAGGGTCTCTCAATAACGCGACTAATTCCTGGGGATTCGGAAGAGCATTTTCCCATTCGGGTTGGGTAAATCACTACAGGGATAAATAGAGGCTAATTACAAAGAATACTCAGCGGGACTCGAACCTTAAACCTTGAGCTTACTAAGTTCCAAAATCCAGCGAGTATATCGCTGGGACCTATCCGAAGTGAATCAATGTGACATTTTTTTTGGAAACAATGTAGTTTTTATTTTTTTTATTTTTATGAAAGACAATATTTGCACTTCATTTTTCTTTAATTGTATTCTATTTGCATTTTTCTTTTAAAGTAAATGACAAGCACGTTCATGAAATCATTAATGCATCATTCTTTATGTTATAATAATATAACTACCCTTTATACAATTTTTTAACTTCTTTTATTTTATTTTATTTTATTTATATTTATTTTTGGCTGAGGTCCTCAAAGAGATTATTTATTAAAAGGAGATAATTTTATTTATTTTTGACAGAAAAAAGAGAGAATTTATTCTATATATATATATATATATATATATATATATATATATATATATATATAAACACAAATTGACGATAACTTTTTTCTTTTTGCTCTTATCAATAGAGAGTTTATTAAGACATTTTTTTTTTTTTTTTGGGACCTTCACACAAGATTTGATTAAATATATAAATTTTTTTAAAAAAAATTATATCAAAATAGATAAATTTTTTTTGGTCTTGTAAAAAAAATTTATTCAACAAAATAATATGTATATATATATTTGGTCGAGACCTAAAACATTAAAGATTAGAAACAAAGAGGAGAAATTTGAAAGAGCAATTGTGTCATTTGAAAAATTATTATTATTTACCTGTAGAATTGTTGTTTTTTAAAAATATAGTGCAAATATAGAAAAGTAGAGTGCGAATATTACCTCTTTTTATTTTTATTTTATAATAGTGGTAGAGAACGAATTTTTAAATATATAGTTGGGATCATATACTTTTAAAACCTCAAGCCAATGAGTAAATTAGAAATATTTAAAAAAAAAAATAGTATATTAAATTTTGAATTGAAACAATTATTTTAGGACAATTAAAAAGAGAAAAGAAAGGTAAGACATTTTTGTGAGATCCGAGAAAAGTATAGAGTTTGTTTGGTTTGTAATTTTGATAATAGTTTTCTGTTTTAATAAAATTGAAAACAAAAAATTGTACAAAAATTATGTTTTGTTCAGCTCTCTGAAAACTCCGTTATAAAAAAGATCTATTTTTGGATAATTTTATCTCTATGAAAATAATTTTTCATCCTCTAAATTCTTAATAACTGTTTTTCGAATTTCAAACAAAGCATGACAATATTTGTTCGAACATTTATACCCCGTTTAGAAAATCCATCTCCCTCTGTCAATATTTCCCTCTTTCCTTTATCAAGCATCACCTCAGCTAAACAATTCAACAAACACTTAAGGTACAATTAATTTGTCATCTAACGTGTTTAGTTAAATCACTCACACAATAATCGTTAGGAGTTTGGACGGGTTGGCGGGTTTAGATCATAATTGCCAACCCTAGACGTGATGAGTGCGTTAAGGAGTCAGTCATTGCATTCAGTGACGCAAAAGTGATGCCACAACTACTCCTGTATAAGAGTTTGTAAGGAAACCTGCTCCTAGTAAAACTGCAGTTAAATGTCGTGTTCCGTGGACTGCTTCTGCTTTGGATCGATAGTTGTCTACATCTTGCTGTCCAAACCACAAAAACATAATGAAGTTTTAACATCGTCCAATTATAAACGTGTATAACTTTCAAAGTTACATCTCGACTATATTTTATGTGACTAAGGAATGACCACGTAATGTGTACAACTTTCGAACTTAGACCGATGGTTCGTGGTGTGCCACTGTGTTCAAGCTGGGAGCACCATTGCGCAGTTTCACAAACTTCGTACTATAAATGAGTACATAAAATCTTCACAAAACACATGTACTGCTGAGGCATTATAAGGCTTAAAAACTATCACCAACTGATTATCTCATTCAATTACCAAATTATTGTATTCCCACAAACACAAGCATTTCAATGCTTCTCTTAATATCAAAGCTTCCCCAACCTTGGCATTACTTGCACATTGAAAGGGGAAAAAAAAAAAAAAAAAAGGCCACTGTAATAGGTCTACCCAAACAATCTCTTTAAGGTCACACCTCCACCACATTTTAAACATTCAATCTTAAAAGTAGAATCAAAATTTAATTTTAAAAAATCATTACGAAGTCTAGAGAGGATTTAATGTCCGCAACCTTACCTCCATACGGGGAGAGCTATCTCTCATTTGCAAATACCATTTATGTTATGAGTCGTAAAAGTTTAGAAACGTGAGATTACATGTTCTAGAATAATATTAGAATCTGAATCTGTCTACAAGTCCTAACATTGTTTCAACAAAAATCACTACTTTAGGCATTTACTTTTTCATAATTAAAATGAGTTTTCTTTGAGAAGACTTTATCCGCGCATACTATGGATTTCAAATTTCAAACTAAACTAGATGTCATCATGCAAAAATAAGTAAAAATAAAATTTTGACTTTCAGTATGTTCCTCCCTACATCCTCAATTATGGAGACCACAGTGGCTAATGATTTCATAAGCCTTTGGTTAATTTTGTTGAGCACTAGCATTATAAATTATAGGACAGTATCTCTTAACACCTCAGTTAATTAGCCCCTGTATAAATTTTATTAGAAACAAATAACTTAAATCATCCTTTTTAATTTTCACATAATATTGTCTTTCAAGCAACAAACAACTTAACAATTTGTAGCTCTTTAATCCCTATTATAGAGAGAGAGACATCCTTTGGCCTTGGCCTTCTCTCTGAGAACAAATTTTTGTACCTTTCCCGTCGAATTAACTGGCAAATCCCCAAAATATACAGTTCTAGGAGCCATATAACGCGACAATCGCTTACCACAAAACTCAATAATCTCTTCAGAACTCACATTGCACCCATCCTTCAACTTCACAAAGGCACAAGGTGTCTCCCCCAAATGGTCGTCAGGTCTTCCAACAACAGCAGCCTCCGAAACCATAGGATGACTGACTAACACTGCTTCAACCTCAAGTGTGCTTATAGTCTCTCCCCCGGAAATGATCTTGTCTATGGCGCGGTCCTTCATCTGTATGTGCCCATCTGGATGTACGACTCCTAGGTCCCCGGTCCTATACCACCCTCCCCTTAAGGCCTCTTGTGTTGCTTGTAAATTTTTGAAGTACCCCAACATCATAGTGTTGCCCCTAAGCATCACCTCTCCAATGGTTTCTCCATCACACGGCACGCTTGTCATGGTCGTTGGATTTTTCACATCAACTCCCTCCATCGTAAGGGCATGAATCCCTTCACGGTGTTTAAACTTTGAATTCTCATTTAAGGATGACAATTCTGAAGCTATCACTGGACCGAGGGCTTCTGTCATTCCATATGCATGAGTCAAATTGAATCCCAATTCCTGGATTTTGTTCAATACTTGAGATGGTGGCACTGCACCAGCAACTACTATATCCACCTTGTGAGGAAGTGGCCTATGGTGAGTTGGGATTGCTTCTGCAATCATGCTTAAGAGGGTTGGCGCGCCACATAAATGTGTTACCTTGTGAAGAGATATGGCATCAAAAATGGCTTTAGCTGAGACATTTCTTAGGCAAATGTTGGTGCCTCCAACAGCAGCCACTGCCCAAGGGAAGCACCACCCATTGCAGCGAAACATGTCGACTGTCCATAAGAACACAGGCAAATGTCTCATGTCACTGCGTAAAATTTCACCAAGTGATTTGAGATAAACAGCTCTGTGGCTATAAATCACTCCTTTAGGCTTCCCTGTTGATCCGGAGGTGTAGTTCACTGAGATTGGATCACATTCACTGTTCGGATGTTTAATCTCGAAACCAGATTGTCCCATTGCAATTAGTCTATTGTAGTCCAAGCTTCCCTGAGGGGGCTCTTTTGCCATTGAGGACGATGCTTGATCACACTCGGGGACTAAGACCAGCGGTGGTAGATTACCTTTTTTGTGGGAGAGATGATTAAATGCTTCAAGAACTACTTCAACAAACTGATAGTCCACAAAAATCATTTTGGCCTCCAATTGCTCTAGTATCAATGCTAGTGTGGCTGAGTCTAGCCTTGTGTTAAGTGCAGAGAGAACTGCCCCGGCCATTGGAACGCTGAAATGCAGCTCATAGAGTGCCGGAACATTTGGGGCCAAAGCTACAACCTGCTCATATGAGAAAATCAGTGCTCTCAACCATAGTAACATATTCAGGATTCCAAAAATTGTTTCCACACTTAAAAATAATTGAAATATTAGACATCTTGATCAATTATTGGAATAATTCAAGAGCAAGACTAATGACTCTAGTAATTACTAAGGATTGTTGTTGCCTGATCATGTCCTAATTCAGGTTCTCATGACATTAGATATGTATATCACCTAATGCTACTAGGGATCAGATCTTAATTTTGATATAGTTACTTGTGTATGTGGTAATGTGACTTGGAAAACTAGGTGTAACACTTTGGGCCAAAACCAATTTAATTGCAATCAGGTATGCAAGTTATGGCCATAGCCATGGTTCATCATCTTGCCTTTATTCCATGTTGGTGGGGTTGGCTGTATAAATTTTCTTTTTTCATTATTTTTTATTATACACCATGTCCTCAATTTAATTTCTTAAAATCTTTTTTAATTAATTCTTCTCATAGAAATTTTGGTCAGCCTCTTTGTGTTGGTTAAAAAATTAACTCCTTCCAACCCATCAACGGTCAACTATTTTTTAAGAGTTAAATCATTCCTTCATCACACAAAGCTAAAGTATCATCACATCATATCAATATTAGCATATATGGAGATAACAATCATACACATCCACGTACAATACAATATTTTACATGGTTCACCCAACTCTAGGGCTACGTCCATGGGAGAGAGAGAATTCACTATTATGAATCAAGGAATAAAATATACAACCACATGTCAAAACCCCAATCACTCACTCATCATCTCTTTTGAGGCTACATGTATACAGTCGGGAATTACATATACTCTCCCCATTCCTCACAACATTTACCCTTAAACCCTTTACATATTTTCTCACTTTTTTCTCTCCAAACCTCTTATATTTATAGTCTTTAAACTCAATTCCTTGTTGGACAAGGATCAACTTGCCTACAAGGAGTTACCATATTAGTTTTCAAGTCTAAAATAAAGGTACAACTTCCAAAACTAATTAGAAAACTATTTCTCACAGCTTCTAGAAAAAAAAAAAAAAAATTCACTATCCAAGTTGAACCGGTTCAGCCCATTATGAACTGGTTCAAATTTGGCAGTAGCCAAAAATTGACGCCACCCTTAAACCGGTTCAAAGTCATTTGAACTGGTTCAACTTTGGCAGTAGCCAAATTCTACAGCAAGAATCAACAACTTTAACCTCCCAAATAATTCACGTAATCAACACATGATCAGACTATGTTTTCGCGTACTCCACCATAGCTTCACCTCGAATAAAGATCTTTTCATACCTCCACCTCAACTGAAAATTTCTCTACCTCAAATAAAGTATTATGATGAACTTGAGAAACACTCTAACAATTTTCACATTTTCTCAAATTCATCATTTTTCATTTTTCTTCCATTTTCTCCATCCATCCCGTTGGTGTTCAATTACTCACGCGTGGCAACCCACCACTCTTTATATCATCTTCATCAATTACTTTTCTGGCTCAAAGTAAAAAGAAAAAACTAAAAAAAACTAAAAAACCCTCCTCTTCACTCTTCATATTCCCATTTGTTCTTTATCGGGCTTAGAGCAAACCCTTTCATTCTTCACACCCTTGCCCTATCTTGAGAACTGGTGTAATACCCCTAATTTTAAAAGGATAGTCTCGGTAATTATTTAATTGTTTTATTTTCATTTTTAGATTATTTAATTGATTATTTGTTTATTTGTTTATGTGTTTAAATGTGTTTTGTGAATTGATTATTTGTTTATGTGTTTAAATGTGTTTTGTGAATTGATTATTTGATTAAGTGTTTAAATGTGTTTTGTGAGCTTATTTGATTTTAAATGATTTAACTTAATTATTTGTTACCTGATGATGTGTAATTTAATTTTAGGATTTAAATATTTATTTTTTGTCTTATATTTAAAGGAGTTGGACTTGAATAGTAATAATGAGCCAACCAATTGGGTCACTTAGATTACTTGGATTGGAGGAGTAATGGGTACAGATAATTACCCATGGATAGTCTACATATATATATGGGAATATATGAATGTATATATAGTTATTTTATTTATTAATTATTATTGGTAGTTTTTATTTTATTATTTATTTTAGTTTTTAGTAACTTAAGTATATATATATATACACACACACTCCGTATATATATAAAACTAGCATTAAAGGTTATAGCACTAAAGGTGTGGGGTGGCTGATCGTACAGTGTTTTATTTGGGTTAGTGGTTTTGGTTTTTATATGGTGTGGCTGCTAGTAGTTTAGTTAATATATGATTAGGTTTTATTATATATTATATATATACATATATATGTATATAGTATGTGCCGAGGGAAAAAGGAAGAAGAAGGCTAGAATTTTTAATCAAATTAATCCTTAAGGCAAATTTTATATCTTCTTTTTCCCTTTGATTCATAATCTATACGTACTAGATTAGTTTCAGGAATTTAATTAAATAAATTAAATATAATTGCATGAATAAAAATATGAAATTACTATTTATGTGATTTTAATTGGGTTTGTGTTGATTTTCTCATGTTTATTAAATTTGAAATTACTGTTCATGTAATTATAATTGGGTTTGTGTTGATTTTCTCATGTTTATAAAATCTGAAATTACTGTTCATGTGTTTGCATTAAATATTGTTAAAACTAATCTGATTAATTATGGGATAATAAATAGATGTGTGTGATTTTGATTTATGGATCTGTATTAAATATTTTTTATTGATTTGAATAGATTCATTACGGACTGGAGTGCATGATTTAAAATACACATGCTAAGTATGAAATTTAATCTATTTAAAAAGATTAAATTAATGGTTGAATATGGTAGGATTAAATTATTATTATTATTATTTTATTTCCTTCTTCAAGTGGGTGGATTTAAATGTATTTAATCAGATTATAGAGTTATACAATTTTAATTGAGATGCATGTTAATTTCTTATAATGTAAATTAAATGCATGCTATTTAGAATTGTTGTGTTTGCTTAATTAAATGTAAAGGATATATATTATAATTGATATCATGTTTAATTGGATGATTAGATGTAATTACACTATTGAAATCATCTTTGGATTGGAACTCTTTAATTGGCTATATGATGGATTAAATGCACCATTATGGGATGGGGACATAATAGAAATAGATTAACGGAATAGTTAAGTTCAACCTATTTATATTTATAAGGGAATTGATTAACCATAGAGTTAAGTCCTGCTTATTCATGTCAAGTCAACGGAACAGTTGGATGACATAATATTAAAATAATACTTTGATAGTTTTATTTTTATTTGGATAGGATGCACATTATATATTTATAGTAAATGCCATGATATGAGCTTGAGTCTCATGATTGATGGTTAGGGAGCGTATATGCAATGGGATGCATAGGTAGATTATAATGCTTAGTGGTGTACCCTGTTAGGTCTAGGCACTCATGCCCACTTCATGTGCATTTTTACATGTTGCCTACTAGTCAGGTTGAGACTGCTTTGTAGTCTAGTGAGAGTCCTTTAGTGTGTATCTATATATATATACGAACTATGTAGCTATTGTTGAGTTGATTAGGATGTATATGTTTATCGGATCTCTGTTTGGACTGTAGTAGAGTAGCACTTATTCATGAGCCTGACCCACAATTATTTTTCAGGTGTTCGTCAGTTTCAGACTTAGAGGTTGTTAGTGCTGAGCAGAGACAGTCATTCATTCTTCCGACTCTACGTAGGATTCTCCTTCATGTTTTAGTTATTGGATTCATTTCATTTCAGTTATTTCAGTTTAGATTTGAGTTAGGGTCCACACGATGGATTCCCGAGTTGTAATGGTATCAGAGGATTGAATAAGTTATTTTGGGAGGATTATTTATTTATTAAATTTGAGGATTTATTATTTAGTTCCCTTTAGATTATTATTTATTTATTATTCTTTTTGTATTCAAATGCTTATTTAAATATTAACTGTTAGATATTGTAATACCCCTAATTTTAAAAAGGATAGTCCTGGTATTTTAATAAATTATTTGAGTGTATTTTTGTTTGTTAATTATTTATTTGTATTTATTAGTTGCTTTTAATTGTTTTAGTTGATTTATTTGAGATTATTTGCATTTTGTGACTTATTTGATTTAATTGTATTTAATTGAATTACTTGTTAAATTGTTTATTTTAAAAATTGAATTATTTGAATTTGGTAATTGTTACATTTGAATAGGTTAATTATATAAATACGTTAACTAAGGTTTTAAATATGTTTTTAGTTAGGGTTTTTCTTGGAGTTGTCATACAAGTATCTAACATGTATGTGATTTAAGTTTATGGCCCGACTCAAGTTTAATTAAGGTTTCTGCCTTAGCTCTAGTTTAATTAGGGTTTTCTAAGGGCCTATATATATGTGTATGAGTTTCACTGAGGGTTTGGAGAACCCTATTCACGGCACAGTGAAAATAGAACGTAACAGAAAGAGAGTTTAGAAAACAGAGGCAATCGTAAGAGCTACCAAGGACAAGAACAGAGAAGAACAAAGGAGGGTTGTGGTGGATTAAAATCACACCCATATGAGGCTTGAAGGAAGTAGTAGTTGCCGGAAACTTAGAGACGACGCCGGGATTTCATAACTAAAATCACAGGCAAGTTCTTCTCTTTCTCATTCTCTTTGGCTCGTGTTCTATGCACCTAAATAATCTCTAGAGTTTAATCAAACAATAACTGGAAGTTATATGTTGAATATATGTTATATGAATGATCTGTTTATGTTGAAAACTAATCTGTTACAGTTCATGCATGTCTCGTTTCAGTTGTTTTTCTGTAAGCATGTTAACTCTGTTGTAACTTTAGACTTTGTAATTGATTTTTAACTACTGCAAACGAACCATGGGGATGTTACTGGGATGAGATAAGATCCTTAGGTTCAGTGGTGAAGAGGAACAGAGGGGTTAGAATAGAACTGAAATTTCTTAAATTTGTTTCAGTGTTGT